TATCGGCATTTATAGACCAAAAATGACAAATATTGTGACGGAAAATGATTACTGGTAAGATCATGGGGTGATTTTGGGGGGCCACCCAGAAGAGAAAGAACGAATACTGGGACTAAATGTTTCTATACTGTTTTGAATGCCTTTTTAAATGCCTTTTTTGTATCAGTATTTCATACTTAAAAGTATGTAATAGAAATACTTTTCTCTCTTCATACTTAAAAGTATGAAATACTGATACAAATGTGCTAATGTGGCAGTTTTATGTTAAAATGTCATACAGATTGCCTTATTCAGAATATTTCCAGTTTTGCCACCCTGAAATTGCATTTGGACGCCTTTAACGGTTCAGATAAAGCAACCACTACAGACGATATGGGAAATACGTCTTCGATTCAGCTCAGTGTTGAGGAAATCCCGAAGTACAAACACGTTCACAAAAATGTATTCTATAAAAAGCTGACTTTGGTGTACAGATTATAAATCATCTATTTAACGGCACGATACGGGCCCTTCTTTTAAATTCCTTAAATTCAAATGCGTTCAAAAAATGTATTCTATAAAAATTGACTTTGGTGTACAGATTATATAAATCATCTTTTCAACGACACGATACCCCTTCTTTCCAATTCATGAAGATTTGTGTCCTATACACGGACTCTAGTTTTTACTGTTGTGTCATGCACAAGAATGATCCTGCTGAAGTAGTTAATCAGACACTCGTACAACAGAGGTACTACATTGTACACTACAGGAGTACACCTCAAACGCATTAGCCAGGTTTGATATGTTTCATGTTGGAAACATCAAGGTGCTGGCAGGCTGCGTAAAGGTACACGCGAGGGAAGAAACGGAAACAGAACGTCAATATCAAACATATACATTAGCCACACTGTCAGCTGGGATAATTGCCATAAAGTTTATAGAACATGGCTACTACCCCCATGAGAGCCCTTCATGTTCTGTGTTTATATCCCCATGGTGCAGAAAAGTGTGGTACTATCCAAAAAGTGTGGTACTAAAACTCATTTGCATAAAATTAGTTATTACCACACTTTTTGGTTAGTGCCACACTTTTTGCGTTTTAATTAAAACCAGGTCCCTTCTCTCACCCTTACCTGATAAGGTATAGAATACCGCGCCACCGACCCTGCCTCGGGAGGATGACTTCACTGTGCAAGTTATGCAAGGGATAAGTGGATTGAAACACAAACAGACCGGCTTTCTCAAAGACAAATGCTGCATTGAAACTGATATTGAACAAGAAAAACTGAAATTAAACAAGAAAAAATGACATTGAACAGTTCGAAAGATAACTTTGGGGGAAATGGCCATGTTCTAAGTCAGATAGACACGATGGTCAAATTTGGGCCCAAATATTCCAACCTTTTAATCGAACCGAATCATGTTCGATATGACGTCATTCGAATCGAATCATGTTCGATATGACGTCAATCGAACCGAACGTTCGTTCGATCCGGGGTCACCCGCGGTCATGTACAGTAAACCCGCGGCTTCAAGCCCGTTTTTACACGGGTACCGCCTAACAGTAAAAAATCAACTTTTTCACAAATATAAACCAATTTCGGGACAGTACATCTATACCCTGTTTTATAGTTGATATGTAACATGTAACGAAGCTACTGCCGTCATCGTGTGTGACCTTGACGATCGTAATTGTTGTTTACTGGGATATAAGTTACCCCCTGTACTTACTCACCCTGCCTGACATGCTTGCAAACATGGTATTTAAACCGCAACAAAAACAAATTCAATTTACCTCAGAAATGTTTTAAATTGTAGGCAAGACACAAATCTCGATCTGTGTCGGACGGATTTTTTAAAGATGGCGGCATTCTGGAATTATCGGTCTTTGAAGTTGAAAAAGTGCATTTTTTGGCGAATTTTTCGGCCTTAGCAACACTTTAACTTTGAAATAAAGAAAACCGTCCGACTCAAATCTTAATTTTGTTATACTGTTCTCTAAAATTCAAAAATGCGGGATTTTCTGGGAGATTTGGGGTCGGTTTAAATCAGTTGTTTGGTTATTGACGTCGATTGTTCTAGAATAAGCATTCGACGCTTTGAGAGTGATTTCACCCACATTTAAGCATTGTAATAAAAATAACAACATTTGGGGTATATGCAGTGCTGATTTTATCACATTTGGACGATGGAGTCCCCGTGAAACTGTTAATTATTGCTTAACAGAATGTTTACCGTTGAGACTGGCTCCACGGAAGCCGCGCGTGGAACCCCGGTAACCTGATACCCTCCCGTAGAATTGGAAACTTTACCCTAGAAATTGACCGCCGTGAGACCATGGGCTTGGGCTCGTTTACTGGGATATAGTGTTGTCCACCAACTCGGGGACTACCTGACACCCTCGGCTGTCGTCTCGGGAGTCAGGCAGTCCCCTTGTGGGTGGGGCAACACTATATCCCTGTAAACTCGCCTGGCCCATGGTCTATCTATTACTAAGCTGGTATTTTATGACAATTTATTAGCGGTTACTTGCGGTAAAGAATTGCGTCACGTTTTGTTTCATCCGTTGTTCTTCCTCCAGACATCTGCTTGGTTTTCATTCACGTTATTCAGAAAATTTGGAATTAACGTGAAACTGAACATCATGAAACATAAGTTATTCAAATGAGGACTTTATTTGCATAATTTATAAAGAAATGCTAGAATAAATTTCTTTAAGATAACCGGCATTACATGTAGGTTGATAAAAACGCATAATAAATGAGAAACATTTACAAATACTCAGTTAAAAATGTTAACTTCATCTGGCTAAGGTATGAGATCGTAGAACTCTTGTTTAGTATGAGTTTATTCCATGCATGTGTATGACAGAAGCACCTCTACAATTCTGTCATGTACACAGCATCTGGGAAGAATTAACAAAGCCTCCTTCTGGCCAATGTATTATGTACATGTAACGTTGAAGAATGCAACTATTAATTGACATGCAAAGCGATGGGCAATACAAGGTGCAAATTATCAAGTCACATCGTACCTGCAATTAAGCCCATTCTTAGACTCTAGACATATACATAGAAAATTTGCAGCTTTGCGACAAGAAACAGTTAACAATTTTGTACACAATAGTAGAATATTTGCTTCCATATCTTAGAGCTACAGTGTACTCTTGTGTTAACCACCTGAACCAAAGATCTTGTTCGATATCTTGAATATAATGTAGGAAGAATTAGTTATAAATACGTGCTCAAGAAGAACTGTACACGTCAATTGCAACTGATAAACAAAATTGGAGACTTATCTTGAAAGTTCATCTGTGTTGGTAGAAGTCATTATGCAGCAAGTTTAAACTGTAATATCTAACACAACAAAATTGGACTCACCCAAATTTTTGACTGTACAACTCCAGTCTTTGTCAAGGAATGAGCAATCCACCGCTTCAGTGACGTCACGCAGATAACACACGTGACTCGTCAGCAGTGGAGCATAGGTTGCAGAGAGTCTGTGGCGCCCCCCGTCTCTAATGAGGGATGGTTGTAATGGCCTCTTTAATCCCTCATTCATTCCAGATTGCTCATTCCTTGACAAAGACTGGAGTTGTACAGTCGAACATTTGGATGAGTCCAATTTTGTTGTGTTGGAAATCACAGTTTAATCTTGTTCATAAAAAACTGTAGACTATTGTTTCATCTTTTATCATCACACTTTACATACATGTACCAGCCATCCTGCAATGGGTGGGGATTCAATCAGCTATAGAAGCAGAAGTGTTAACATTCAGGTACATATTGAAGATGTAACATACATATGCATAACATGGCATCAGTAAGCAGAAGTGTATAAAGTTGTAAAGTATGTGTCTGCTTACATGTAGTTGACTGATTTCAACTTGACACTTTATTTCAAATGTACACAATATTATAAGTATCATCCTGTCAATGCCATTAACCATTATAATAGCAATATGCATTTTTGCCCTCTTTCATTTTAATATTGATTGAGATTTACCACTGTATTTGTGGAAAGACTGATATAACAGGTGACTGTCACCTTTTCAATCTGTAGATCTCTGTAACACTAATCAAGTCACTCTCTAAAATCTTACAAATCATTGTTTAAATTTAATAACATTTACATGTGTATGTTCATTTTTATTTTCTTAAAAAACAAACACAAGACTGCATGTTTTCTGACTTTCCCCTTTCTTACTTCCCAAAAGAACCGAATAGATAAAATCGTTTCCAAGTAGGACAGGCGAAGATTTTGTCATAATAGTTGTGAGCCAGGGGTTGGTACTTGTCAAATACTGTAACAATGTGGCAAGTTTTTGAGGAACACAAATTTGCGCCTTCCTAATATTTAATGAGATGTTTGTTCTACTAGATTCCAATTCTGTAGTAATATATATATATATAGTAATAAACTGTGAACTACATAAATATGATAATCACGACGGTGATATACATGTAACATTATATGTAACTGTATTGCATAAAATGCAAATCTTGCAATTTTTTTAAAATTTTGTGCAAACCTACTACAGACTAAGGTGCATGTACATGTCTGATTGTTGGCACAGGGTTCTGCCAATTATAATACTAATGTATGTAGACTTTGCAGAAAAGAAATTAAACATTGATGTAACCACACAACTTTGCAAAAATGAAATCTACTGAGGGCCACACCAATCTAATTTGTTGTTTCTCATATTTTTTTCGGGAAAAATCAGGAGCGTCAGGGAAAAAAAACAGGCCAAGGCACTCAATGATAGCTGGAAATGTTACAGTATGAGCCATGAAGTGAGCATACTGGGCTGGTTTATAATCAAAACAATAGATTTTGAACTTTTAATGAAACAAAATTGCATTGTTACATTGAAAAACGTAAGAAATAGGAAGAAAATGACTTTTTCAACTGTTAGGGCAATAATATGTCTTTCATTGAGCATTTTGCAGTTAATTTAGAACAAAAAAATATAATTTTTTTTTTTGCAAATCAGAAAAAAAATGGACAGGGCGATCTGAGAAGCAACAAATTAAATTGATGTGGCCTAAATGACACTATATAATAATCAATTTTGTGTACTCTAATGCAACCTCCCTACAATAAGGTCACCAGTCTGTACAAGGGATTTTCTCCTATATGTTCCCTGTTGTAACTCAGACTGTTATTGTTTTGATGTCTGAATAAAAAAAAAGTTGTTGATTCAGAAAACACTGCCGTAGGAATGTAAAAAAGCATAATTTACTGCATTTTAGGTGGGATACATTTGAAGTACATGCAAGGAAAATGCTCCAATAAGCTTGAAATATACTATTGGTACATGTATGTGTACTTCAAAGGACTTTCTTTTACCAAACAACAGGGAGGGCTTTTCTGGTCATAGATTGCTAATTAGGACTGTTTTAAATCATTGGCCTTATTTTCTGTTTTAGCTGGTTTCATCTACTTTGTCTTCATGGTCCAAAATGGATCCAGCAGACTAAAAGGGTCAGCGGGGTCTTTCTGTGCATCAAGACCCCCTTTTCTCTGGTCAAAGTCTGTCTTCCTACTCGGTTTTTGGGAGGAAGTATTTGTGTTCAACTCTAACTTAAAGGACTCCACTGAAAGCTCCTGCAGGACGGGACTGTTTCTCTCACATTTGCTGAACCCACTCCCCTCTGAACCCCTGGGTATCAGACCATACTGGTTGTCTTGTACTTCGTCAGTAGACATGGTGGTATTGTTACACAGCTGCCCACTGTTTCCTGTTATGTCATTTGATTTCACATTATAAACAGGGTGCTGGGTATCACCTTCTTCTAGGTGCACATGTGGTGCAGGTGTCTGCAGCTGTGCAGCTGCAGGTGTCACCAGCTGTGTAGCTGCTGCAGGATTAGGAGACATGACTGGTGGTGGTTCCGACTGTGGGTCCGTGTGTATGGCAGCAGGAACAGAGGGAGAAGAGGTGGTGAGGGCTGTTAAGGTGTAATGAAAAACAAGACTGTAAAAAAAAATACAATTCAAGTACTTTCATAATGCAGGCAAATTTAGTACGCTGCTACGTTGGTAACTTGTTATTCATAATTGCCACCTTGAATTTTTCACCTTCAAAATTCAAACAGTGTCAGTTTAACAGTTAATTCATAAAAACCAGCCTTGCAGCCTGTACTAAACATGCTGAATAACACTGATTTTTTACAGTTACTTGTCTGGCAAATACAAATTAACATTACAATACAATGTCATATACAAACTGAAAAAAAAACATGATAAAAAGCCTCACATGGGCACTTAAGTGCAATGTATGTGTATATAAGACCAGTGAGTCCTAAGAGTCTTACTGCGAAGACTCATTGTCAAGAAACATTACTGGTTTTATTAATAATTATTTAAAAAATTAATGTTAGTCCCTAGATAGAAACTGCAAGTACATGGTGAGATCAGTGTATCTGTGTTAGGACGGACTAATCTAATCTAATCTAATCTAATCTAATCTAATCTAATCTAATCTAGTCTAATCAGAGTTCTGATTAACAAATAGATGGTAAGAGGGATCTAGCAGCCACTAGACATCACACCTATTGAGACCTACTGGATAATAAACTTGCCTGTTCAGCTAATATTGTTGTGATTGAAAGTTTCAGGTGTGAGTGAATTAATTTTGGACTTGGACCTTGATTTAAGATATTACTGATATTTTCCAGGGAAAAAGTGACCAAATCTCTTCCTGATGTAGGCATACCTGAGGGGTTGAAATCCTTTTGTTGGCTGGTCTTCTTGAGGCCCTGTGACTGCTGCAGTTCTGCTGATAGAAGAGAGGTGGAGCCGCTGACATCTGTCCCTTCTCCCATGCTCAACTTCTCCAGAGTTGACTGGACTTTAGTCAATGGAGCATCTTCAGACAGAGGATCAAAGGAGTCCAGTCGTGTGTAGCCCACCTTTGGGGCTGATGCAGTTGTAGCTGCTGTCTGCATCTCTGGACGTTTGTTTCTCAAGATTCCACCTGACAGTCAGAGGGAAAACTTTGTTTAGTCTCATCTTCAATGGGGTTATCCTACATGTACATTAAGGCCACACCAATTTAATTTGTTGGTTCTCGGATTTTTTCAGATCAAATTTTTTCAGAAAAAAAATTTGAAGCAACAGGAGCCATGAAGTCAACACAAAAGCCCGGGTTAATATTCAAACAATGAATTTTGAAGTTTGACTAAAACCACTCAAACCACTGCATTGATAGATGGAAAAACTGTAACAACCAGGAAGAAAAGGATTTTCCTCAACTGTTGGGGACAAATATGAGCATATTTTAGTTGATTCAGAACCAGATTTTTTTTTTCAAATCAGAAAAAAAAATTGTGTGGCCTAAGTGAAGTCAGACACAGTCAGATTAAGAACCAAATCAGTTTTGAGGACAAAATGCACAAATGTGAAACTGTAATGTGCCAACATCAATTCAGCCGGTGGGCCACCACTGTTGGACACAATGTGTATGTGCATGTACTTGCTCAAATATTACACTGCTGAATACTGTAATTGCTATAGAAAACATGTAGTACATGTACATGTGTGAGGATATCTTACTGAACTCACGTTTGATAAGGAGATACTCTGCATGTGCCAGCACGGCTTTGTAACAGAACTGGAGATGAGCCTACAGAAAATAACATCATGATTACATAATGATTGTTAACTACACAATGAGACCAAATTAAATCGCTTGCAACTCTAGTCATAGTAAACCTGTACATTGTCCATTCCAAACTGTAGACTATCATAATACTAAATGTAACGTGGGTGCTAAATGCTTGACTACCATACTCCTCAGAAGTGTAACCATTTTTACAGTCTTGAGCATGGGTTTGAACCTAGCTTGCAGACCTGCAACCACCAGAAAGCAGTGCTACTTACATGTAATCATGTCATGAAACACACTAGTAATTAAATTTCATTTGTTGCCTGTGTGAAAAAAAGTCCATATCTGCTGCTGTTTACATGTAGTCATTCAATTTCACAATAATTATTATTTTAGATGTCCATGGCATTTTAATTTAGCAACCTTTCCTACTACATTTTTGCTTCGAACAACGTTCAGATGAGTACAAGTCCTTAGACAACATCTCCAACATTACCTTCTCAGAAATCATGTATTTCCTCTGCATGCGGAGCTGGTGGACCAGAGAGACCAGGTCTGGTGTGGGTCTCTCCATGTTAATGTCTGACACAGCAGCAGCCAGGAGACAGAACACTCCTGTCCTCCCTACTCCATCACTGCACACAACAACAAGGAAGACAAGGTCAGCTTTCTTCCACTGTTTGGGCCAAAATATGATCATTCTGATTTGATTCAGAACCTGAATCTTTTTTGTTTGTTTTTGCAAGTCAGTGTGGCCTAATTATAACTATTGAAAAGTGTTACACTTGCCTCAGTCTGAGGATAGAATGTTTACCTTTTTCCAAGATGAAAAATTTAACATCATGTTGTCCATCATATCTCTAGATCTGTTGGCAAGTAATTATGACAAAATCCACTAATTGGTACAAGTAACTCTAAGAATTTGCCCTTCAGCCTACTAAGGTACTAGTACATGACAGTATTGTGTAGCTTTATATATATTTGGCATGACATTTATACTGGGTATGGGGTAAGGTAGCAGGGAGAAGGATAATATATTACAATACTTAGTAAGTAAGTAAGTAAGTACTAAGTACATGTATTAAGCAATAACTGGCAACATGTAACACTTGAAGAGAGTAAACTCAGTTGGACTTTAGCAAAAGAAATCACTTGTCTATGTCATCTATCCCATACATGTAGATTTTTTTCATCAGAAATATTTGCTGGAAGAGCTCCTAGATTTGAGGACGTGCTACATCAAATGAAAACCTGAAAATGAAAATTTTATGGATGACATCCACATTGATTTTTGCCTGTTCTAAAAAAAAAAAAGATCACGTCCACCGAGGCTCTGGCCTGGTAGTCCATGGTACATGTAGTAGCCGGTAGTGACAATAGAGGAGGCACCCAGGCTACTGAAGTTTCGTGACTCAAGAACATACGTACAGTGCCGATTCATGAATTCCACAAAAAGCCAGCTTGTGCCGGCTTGCCGTATATCTCGCTATATATACTGCCGCAAATTCAGGATACAAGCTTTGTATTCCTGTGGTTTAGTAGCATTTTTATTTTTGGCCTGAATTTTTTTTTATTCGCCCACACGCACTAGTTTGGGAGTCTTCAGAGGATGTCATTCATGAAATTAAGTCTTGTGGCCTTACTGACACACAGGGAAAGTCACCTGCAGTGAACCACCATGGGTGTTTGCAGGCTCCTCTGTTGTCTGTGATACTCCAGGACTTCCTTCTGGAACTGTAGAAACATGTCTGGGCTGTCAGGAACACTCCTACAACACAGACAAGTAGGATTCAGAGACTATAGACCAAAACATGATGCATTTCATACATGGAATGCTCACATATATAGAATACTACACGGTGTATTCCGTATTGCCCAAGGTACATGTACCAGCCTGACTGTGGGTCGGATCACCCGACGGCCAAAGGCTTTAGGTAGATCCGATCCGCGGGAGGGCTGGGACCAAGGTGATGTGGAATACACCATATTTTATTTATGTCATACTCACCTGAGAAAACAGACATTTCAATGCGAAATGTGCAAAAATTTGGTGTATCTAAACAAAAAGTGTAACAGCATCAATTCCAACATCCGAATTCGGTGTTCGAAGTTTCATTTGAAAGCCCGGGCCGTACGCGTGAAGAACCCCGGGCCGTACCGCTAGTTGTCACACAGGCCGGAACACCCTTTTATCGAACGTAATCGCGGCCCAGGTACATTGTATGTTACAAATGTTTCTATCAGCATTCTAGCCAGTGTCTGTCTTTCCGTCATTTGATAAAATTTTGCTGCTCATGACAGTTGATAATTTTGCCCAAACCGTCATCTTTGACACAAAAATTGATGAGTAAAGTCTAACTAAAGATATGGAAAGAAGTGTCATTAAATTGAGCTGAAGCCTATAAGAAAATTGTTATATGGTTACTGTTACAATCCATGGCACTGGTTACAACTATCACATAGATCCTGCTCATGAGACACACATGTACAGTAACATGATGGAGTACTTACTGTCCATCAGGCCATCCTGTAAACTGCAGGTGAACCACAGACCTCATCAGACGGGTCTGGAACAGAAACATTCATCAGTTGATGCCTGCCCATTTTTGTAAGGCGTAATCAGGCCTTTTTAGTCTTTGTAATCCGTATGCAGCGTTCCCAAAAATCAACATAATTTGTAATAGTTCATTAGCTGCGAAGTGTTAAGCTGTAATCAGCTCTGAGACTTAAACGTAATTCATAATCAGCAGCAAAAATTTTGCGTAATTCGTAATCACCATGCATAGTCTTGTATGTAGGTCAATTCTTTTGTACCCACATGACTTGGTAAAGTTCTTTCTCTGTATATAGCTTCTCCAATGAGTTCTGTATACTAGACATAATTGTACTGTTGAGAAGTCTACTAACTAATTTAAAAGTTAAACTTAAAAGCAAGGAAGCTAAAGAAAATTTCATCACTACACAAGGCCACACCAATTTAATTTCAATTGTTGGTTCCCAGATTATTTCAGAAGAAGTATGAAGCAACAGGGAGAAAAAAAGTACAAAAAAACAGGTCTAGGCATCCTATTATAGCCCCAAATGCTACAAAATGAGCCATGAAGTCAACACAAAAAGCTGTTAATATTTAAACAATGAATTTTGAACTTTTAATCAAACCACTGCTTTGATAGATGGAAAAACTGTACAGTAACAACTAAGAGGAAAAGGACTTTCCTCAACTGTTGGGGGTAAAATTGGTCCAGGAGCATCTTTGAGTTGATTCAGAACCAAAATTTTTTTTTTTTTTGCATATCAAAAAAAAAATGAATAGGCGAATCTGAGAACTAACAAATTAAATTGTGGCCCGGGCCAATGTACATTGTAATTCAAACTGGAACAAACAAAAACATGTTGAAATTGCAGCAGCCGAGAGTGAGAAGATTATGCGTACCTCCTTGTGTGAGATGTTGAACATCCTCTCTATGTGTGTAGGAAGAGTCTTAATACTGTACAAGCTGACAGTCACTTGACTATAGTTCACTGCAACACCTCGCTCCGCTGGCCAGTAACAATGCCATTTCTGTAAGGCAAGGGAGAATTTCATGTTACAGTTAACATTTCCTTGTACATTACTGCATCAAGATTTTGATTTTAGCTCATGTCATACTTTTGGAAAATCTATTTATTGATTGACTGGAATTATTTAATTAAGCACATTTGTGAAAGGATTGAAATAATAGGACCCTTATGCTGAATTTCAGGTCATTTGGTTTTTGAAAGAAGAAGAAGAAGAAACAAGAGGGAAAACAATATGTTATCATGAAAGTTCATCTGTGTTCACTCTCGGTAGTTACATGTTCATTGAACCTCGGTAGTTACATGTTCATTGAACCACGACGGGGGCCGACATCGTCTACCAGATACCTTTGACCCAGTGTTGACGTCACACTTCAAAGAAGCCACGTGACAAGCTCAGTCTACTGAGGAAGACCAGAATGACTGGTCGAAAGCTCTAGGTGAGAGAATTTTTTGTGTTGGACCAAAAGTTTTAACTTTAAACACGAAAACAATATGTCTTCACCACACATGTAGTGTGGTGAAGCCATAATTCTACTGTACCTTTCCACTCTCCTCCTGGTTGATCAGCATGACGATGACTGACACCTGCTGCTCGTACACCATCGTCCAGAACTCTGCGTACGTGGAGGGGAGGGGGGCCTGGGTCGCTATGATCCTCGCACAGGAGGGGTTCTCGTAATGCTGCAACAGTTGACGATATAAGGACACACCAATTTAATTTCTTGGTTAACGGATAACAGAAAAATAATGGAGCAGGCAGGCAAAAAAAATAAAAATAAAAACAGGCCTAGGCATCCTATTAGGCCATGTTGATTTGATTATATGGATGACATCCACGCGCGCATGAATTTTCGGCCGTTTCCAAAAAAAAAGTTTTCAACCATACTGTAAATCGTACAAAACAGTTGCAAAATGAGCAAAAATATACCATAAATTAAAAAAAAAATTAATAAAAACTATACCAATGTCGTAGAATGCCAAAATCAAACGAAAAAAGACGAAATTGTAAAGAAATGAACTTGAAGACTAGATTATTCGCCAAACCATATTCTGTGCCATTTGTTCAACCCTCATGACCACGTAGATTTCATAATGAAAAGTAACTTTTTTTTTGCAAAACTTTTTTTTATTCGCACGTGCGCATCAGTTTTGGGGCTCCCGGAGGATGTCATCCATATAATCAAATCAACATGGCCTTATGGCCCAAAATGGTACGATAGGAGGCATGAAGTCAACACACCAGGCTGGTTCAAAATTTAAACAATGAATTTTAAACTTTTAATGATAGTATTACCACTGCATTGAAAGATGTAATAACTGTAACAGCTAGGAAGAAAAGGACTGTTTTCAACTGTTCAGGGCAAAATATGAGCATTTTGCAGTAACTGTTGATTCTGATTTTTTTTTTTTGCAAATCAGAAAAAAATGAAGCGGGCAAATCCGTTAACCAAGAAATTAAATTGGTGTGGCCTACACATGTACATATGTATCAATATATCACACAATAAACAAGGACATGATATTTATAGTCAGTGATAGTGATTTCAGTACCAAGGAGAGGTCATGTCACATGTAATAGTTGTTGATAGTCAGTTCAGCACCAAGGAGAGGTCCTGATATAAAAATTCCTACATCAATAAAAATATCCAAAAGACTTGCAGCAAAAACAATGATGATGAAATGATGTCACAAAGATACAAAGTGAATGAAAATACATTGTATAACAATATAACTAGAATTTGGAGAAGCAACACAAATTTCAGGATTGTCGAATTAAAAGCTTACTAGTAGGTTGTACAGTAATCTGACCAAAAAATCAATGTGGCTCATACTTTGCAAAACCTCTGAAAATACCTTCTTTTCTTTCTCTAGTTGAAAATGTATGTTTCATCTACCAACTGCAGCCTTGTAAAGTGTGAGTGAGTGAGTGAGTGAGTGAGTGAGTGAGTGTGAGTGAGTGAGTGAGTGAGTGAGTGAGTGAGTGAGTGATATTTTGCATTTGTGAGAAAAACTGAACTTTGAGTTGTGTGTGTGAAGGACTGGCTATAATTGTAGTTTGTTTGTGAACATGATTGGTGCACACCAGGCTTACCACTATATGGCTGGCATTGATGTAATCATCCTTTAGGCTGGACAGCTTTACTCTGTTCTGATCATCTGGAACACATAGAAAAGGACAAATCGGTAAACAGTTTACAGTAACCAAACTATTAACAGGGCTTTGTGTCAAAATGTGCATGTGCTCATCTTGAACATTCTCACATTTCATTTGTCACAATTACAATATGTCCAAAATCTAAATATAAGAGGATTGTCTGATACAATGTAGTTTAGCAGTGGGTATTGGGGCAACTTCTCCATTCTGTACAAATACATGCACATGACATACATGTTCATGTACATACATATACATGTATTCAAAACATTACTGTCTAAACGTGTCTTTTTCAAAAGAAAAAAAATGAAGCATTAAATCTGGGAGGTAATAAATCCAACTGGTGTGGCTTTATGACATGTTGAATACTGAGCAGTTCTTACAGGGCATGATGTCTGGATGTCTGTTTTTCATGGAGTAGCAGCGGGCGACAGAGATGGACTTCTGTCTGGACTCCTTCTCCTGGGCCTCCATCATACCCTGGACATGGTACAAGGCATCACTAGGTCACATATGGTCTGCTCTGTTACTCAAACACATGCATAATTATAATGGTGACAGTGTACAGAATATTTTTTTGAACCAGGTTGCCCAGTGGGCAAACTATGGCAAAAATTAGGTTGCCCATCAGAATTTTAGGTTGCCCCACCTACATGTATAGTTACAGTAACTACTTTCCTCAAATTAAGTAATGTTACATTGTACATACATACATGTAAGCCTTTGACAATATTTGTAACAGCCTTTAGTTAACTGATACTAGTAATAGTCATTAATACCTAAAATCAAATAGCATCTGCCGGATACAGTGGTGCATTCCAAGTGGGCATGATTGGGGGGGGAGGGCATTCTTGAAATTCAGGTAGCACACTGGCTAGGTTCAAAAATAGGTTTAATAAAATTTGGGTAAAGTAAAATTTTGGTTACCCGGGGCAACTGGGCAACCAGGTATTTTGCACACTGTGGTGACACAGTCTACAAATGTAAATCCCTCCTGCTATAAAATTGCAACATGATGTAACCCAACACTAGTTACCATGGTGACAGACGTCTGGTTCAGGTCATTGACCTTATCTGTTTGGAGATTAGTAGAAGCTTAGAGGAAGACGAAACAGAGCAAAATATCTGTTTTCCTTCTGAGAAGGTAAGGTAAACCTAATTTTCAGCTTAATAATATATTATGTAATACATTATGTAGACTACAGATTTTAAAACTTTAGACAATCAAAAGTCATATGGAATACTGATGGGCTACTATACCTACCCTTTTTAACTGGAGGAATCAACTTTAAAATTTATTAATTAAAGGAGTAATCCCATCCAAAACAGAATATCACAGAAAAGTTTAACTCAGTCTTCATTTAATCATAGAATATAATAATATCTGGTTCACCATTCAATAACCATTCATTATGTAAATGACTCTACAAACAAGGTTATTTTCCTCCAATAACGCAACAATCTGTCGCTTAATTCATTCCGATGCCTTCTACAGGAATTCATTCTTTCGGAAGACCTACCATTTGTAATGCTTTTAGGTTTCTTCCTGTTTTACTTGTATGTCTGTAGTGTTTTTGTATTATTTTAATGATGTATTGTACATGTTATATGGGTTTTTTTACCTGAAATAAAGAATGAATGAATGAATGAAACAAGAAGGAAAAGTGGAAAGAAAGAGTCATTCTGTAGGCAAGGCTGAACATTAAAAAAGTCACAAGCCAAACCTTCCAGTCACTCTCAAGTTTGGTCTGACCACTCAACGTCTTCTTCTCCAAACCCTCAACTATCTTCTCCAGTTTGTTGACTTCTTCTAGCAGCTTGTCTAAAGATGACTGGTCATGGTAAGGCTCGTGGGGAGACTTGGTCTTCTCAGTCTTCCTCAGGAGCTCCTGCTTGTCTTCGTTAGTCAGAACCTTTGGCATCAGAACCTGAAATATTTAATTTGTGAATGGATAATTTGAATAGAATTCTGAACTTGACAGAAAAGCCTGTAAAGACGTATTTAAGGCATACTACAAGCCGCTGCAATGTTTAAAACAGCATGTACAGTACATATAACGTTACATGTACATGTATGTCTACTAGGACCTAGCTAAAGAAAAAAAAAATGTTGGCACTGTGTTTCCTGTTTCCTGACTGACCCTAGAAAAACCTGCCAACCCTACACTTGTTTTTTGTGTGGACCCCTGCAAGGGACATAAATTTTTTCGGGCTGATCAACCTTTTCTAGCTCTCACACCTGAGTAATAAAACAATTTTTCAAATATTGACATTGAAAAAAAGTGTCCTCATGCAATTTAACTTTGTTAAACTGTATTGCATAATTTGGACCCTATATAGATATCACTTAAGTCTAAAAAATAAAAATAAAAAGATAATCCATACCTACCGACACTAATTTTTTCAGGACTGAAACAGGAAATGCAACATTTTTTTTTAAAGCCTAGACAACTGTATGCTTCAACATTCTATATTTTTACCTGTACTAACCTGCATATGCAGGTGGAATTTCTAGCCCTGAAAAATCAAGAACAACAAGTTTACCTGATGAGAGTCTTTGAGAGCCTGGTGCTCCCCCTCAGGACTGGAGGATAGCAGGTCATCAGTGCCTGTGGTACCCGTGGAGCTCATGACAGGAACAGGCTGCAGGATGGACCCACCCCCCACCATACCTCCTGCTGGACCAACCACAGGGAAAGGCTGACGGCCAATGGCAGCTGCTGGACCCATCTGAAGAACATTCTGATTGGGCACACTTGGCTCCTCCCCTCCAGGGACAACATTCTGATTGGCCATGAAAGTCACCTGATGATGCACCGGTAGGACATTCTGATTGTCTACAGCAAGACTCTGCTGGTTGATTGGCTGAATGTTTTGGTAAGGCAGTTGGGATGTTGGCACCATTTGGTGCTGAGGGAGGCTATGTGGCATTAAGGGATGCTGACCTGAGGGCAGCATGTGGGGAGGAACAGCAGGAGCTGTCTGATCAGCCATCTGATTACTGACTTTGGGAGACATATCCAGGACAGCAGATGAAGCAGGCATGTGAGACAGGGACTGTGTCCCGCCCATGGGTAACTGTGGCGGCACATTTACAGTTGGTTTGATAGTTTGAGGCTGAATACTTTGAAAGTCTTGCCCCACCCCAGGCTGTAGATCCATGTACTGCATGTCTGATGATGGGTTAGGAGGAAGGTAGGCTGCAGCTGAGTTATTCATGTTCATGTTTGAAGTAGGGAACTGAAGAGCTGATCTGTGTTGAACTGATTCACCAGGGACACTGACAAAATTCTGAGGAACTTGAATTCCATAAACGCTTTCTTCCTGCAATTGTGTTTGCTTTTGGCTGTTGCTGGAGACTGGAAACCTGACTTGTTGGTGAGTTGAGCTGACTTGTGTCTGGCCATACTGCTGACCAAGGTTAAATCCTGGTGTCATGTCCTGGGCTTGTCCCTCTGACAGAAATGCTGGGCCTTTCTCCTGTAGCTGCATGGATGGCAGCAGGCTTTCCTGTTGTTTGTGGGTAACAATAGGAGTGTTGAGGGTGTCAACTGTCTGGGACATGCCACTGCCCCCCCACTGGATGTGGTTGCCATGTATGTGACCTGCAGGGTGCTGCTGCAGACCCTGGTACGGCTGTGTTGGGAAGGTACTCCCCACCCGGCCATCCCCACAGGACATGCCGTCTTCTAATGAACCCTTAGGGTAAGCTGTCATCTGTGCAGGGTTTGGTTGTACGTTATGACCAGACTGAGGGAAAGTTGTGGGCAGCTGAGCTGACGACTGTGCTGGAGGGAGCAGGTTCTGTTGGTGGGACCAGCTGGATGGCACAGCTGCTGGTGCTGGCACATGGTCATGCACAGGACTGATGTTAGCCACACTGCCACCTGTGCCAGTGGATGAAATACTGCTGTCCAGGTTTGTACTGGGAAAATTAGTCCCAGCAGGTCCCAGGTTGGACTGTCCTGAAAAAGCAGCTGTGATATTTGGGTTTCTGACAGAGGGAGGAGTAGGATACTGATTTGTTGGGATGGTAGAATGGAACACACTCACAGTCGGGTCATCGTAAGGTCCTCCAGGAGGGATGAATGTAGGCAGGGCAGCCATGGGGGCAGCCGGGGGACCCAGGTTAGGTTTGGGGGCTGTGGGACGAGCTGGGGGCTTCTTAGGTCGCCTGCTTTTTGTCCTGCAGGAACAGGGAAAAATCAGGTACAAATAAGACTTTAAATTTATGTAATGAAGTCTATATGAGGAGTCATTCTAGAGATACTGGATATAAACTCACATAGTGTTCTATAGTGTGGTTATTACTGGTAGACATGAGATGACTTAATACCTCTTTCTTTGTTCTACCTTTATACAGTTTGTCTAAGTGGATTGTTCTAAATAGTGTGTTACGTTCGGCATCATATGGTTTACAGTCAAGTACAAAACTGAAACATACAAACCTTCCCAATGAAATGTTGCCTCTCTATCCCTCTTTTACAGATATTTCCATGGTCGTTCTGCAGAACTCACCCAACTAGTTCCACCACTCAAGTGTTCCACTTGTCTACTGGGTTCTCCACTAGCTCACACAACTTCACCGTCCAAATTCCTTGTTTGAAATCTTTTTACAGTGACAGTTTCTTTTCCTGTACGGCTAACCTTTGGAATTCCCTCCCTGACAAGTGTTTCCCACCAACCTACAATCTACAGGCTTTCAAATCAAACGTTCACGGCCATCTCTTGACATAGCCATGTTACTCTCATATATACTTTTCTAGTTCAATGCCCAGAAGTGGTCGTATAGGCCTTGCATTGTACTACTCCATTAAAAACAACTGACCTGTCCATGATCTGCTGCCTCTCCTCCTCCTGTACCTTACACACACCCCGGGTTCTCTGCAGGAGTTTACTGACGTTAGTCTGGAGCTTCTGGTAGAAATCCACACCTTTCTGACACTTGGCCAGCAGGTCTTCATGAGCATCATAGGAGGCAATCAGTGACTGCACCATATTCTCTCTCCTGGATAAATACATGACATGTATGTCAGGGCAGACACTCTGATATGTAAAAAAATTATGTTTACCAAAGGAAACATATATTATTGTTTTTGCTACATTTCCTCTTCTTCTTCTTCCATTCCAAACACTAACCTCTGACCTGGCCAATGACCTGTTGTCACCATCATGGTAACTGGTGTTGAGTTACATTACGTTGCAATTTTATAGTAGAAGGGATTTATCTTTTCTTTATTCTTTATTTCAGGCGCAAATTGGCCCATAGTAGACAAACAATTAAAATAACAAGGTGCACACATAATAAAAAACGGTAGGGTTCGGTACATATACATACGAGAAGGGCCTTACCGGTAGACTAGGCCGATATAGTGATCCCAGTAGTGACTGGTGGATGATAAGTCTGAGTGGATTGCGAGTTTTATGATACTGTTATTACTGTTGAGGAGCCGATTGGTGAAAGAGTGTGTTAGTTTACGTCTGCGAGCATCGAAGGTATCGACAACCTCAGTCACAAACATTCGACTGGCGCTCTCGAATTTTCCATATGAAAACAATATTCTAAAGGCGTTGTTATAAGCCGTTCGGAGTTTGCGAATAGCGCCCAGAGTGTAGCGTGTCCACAACTGGGCGCAATACATAGAGGAACAGTATGCGTTGAAAAGCGTGCGCTTCACTTCTGTAGAGGCAAACTTAAATTTACGAACTAAGGAATTGGCTCTGGTGTAGAAGCCTCTGATGTGAGTACGGATTCACTCGTCATCAGACAGGTTGGTAGTTATCTGGTTGCCCACTGGTAGTTCACAGAAGAAACATACTGTAGGTTAGTTCCATAAAGCCTTACTGAAGGGGGCGCACAGTTCAACCGAAGTCTGTCACATGGAAAGTACATACAATGGCTCTTCTTTTCGCTGAAGAGAATATCGTTGCGATCACCAAAGCTTTCACAAATCGAAATAAGTTTTTGCAGTCCTTTAACAGAAGGACAAATAATACATATGTCGTCTGCATACAAAAAATGGTTCACAATAGTACTGCCAATATAGCAGCCAACACCGCTCGAGTTCAGCTCAACACTTTTAGACTTTTAGACACAATTTAGACTGTCTGACCACATACATGTTTACATGTACATTGTATGAATGTGTAAGAATTAACAGAGCAGACCATGTTCGAAGGTAAACATAATATGAATTTTTTTTTGCTTTGCAAATGTTACCTTATAGTTAGGACGTTAATTTTCATTCTACTGGACCAGGTACACTTTTCTTGTTGCACAATGCTTAGCAGTCGCTGCCATACACTGTACGGTACAGTGTACCATGTACAATTGTCGTGCAATAAAGTTTTTTGCATAAGGCAAGCGATTCTACATTGTACGGGCTGAGAGGATGAGGTCTATTGCTATAACCTAACATTGCCCAGCATATCCTAAACACCAAACATTCAATCACTTTACTGGTGGCTACTGATATCATAATATATTATAAATTGAACATGTATGTAATACATGTACAATTTATCATATAGCCAGAAGGCATCGACCAATCAGTAGGCTACATTTGCCATTGCTTATCAGGCTGTAACCTCAAAAGTGGTTGGTGAATTAGAATAACCGACCACTTTTTGGACCCTTCCATTATACAGCGGACAAGGCACTAACAGTAGTGTCACCGGTAAGACTTGTAGTACAATATCTATCAGTCTCTACCAGCAGAGACTCAGATCAGAGTTTCTGTTGACTGAGACATTTTTTTTAGGCCACACCAATTTAATTTCTTGGTTAACGGATTCGCCTGCTTCCTTTTTTTCTGATTTGCAAAAAAAAAAATTTTGAATCAACTGCAAAATGCTCATACATGTATTTTGCCATGAACAGTTGAAAACAGTTCTTTTCTTCCTAGTTGTTACAGTTATTCCATCTTTAAAAATGCAGTGGTATCATCAAAAGTTCAAAATTCACTGTTTAAATTTTGAATCAGCCTGGTGTGTTGACTTCATGGCTCCTATCGTACCATTTTGGGCCATAATAGGATTGCCTAGGCCTGTTTTTATTTTTTATTTTTCGCCCGCCCGCTCCATCATTTTTCTAGAAAAATCCCTTAAACAAGAAATCAAATTGGTGTGGCCTTAGTATCAATCTGTATGACTTCTGATAGGCACCATGCCTACATGTTGTGTTTCAATTTCATGTTACCTCTGTTCCGTCTCTATGCTGGCCTTCCTGGTAGCTGCATACTTGGCGTTGACCTCAGTGAGTGCCTTTAGAATATTGTCCTGAGCAGCCAGATTCTGGTGGATGTATGCTATGACCTGGTCATACTTCCTCAGCTCCTGTTTGAACAACTCCTACAAACAACACACAACATAAAAAGTAATGTACAATAAGTACATACACAGTGACAATTGAGATTCTGTAGTATCTTTGAGTTTGGGGTTAAAATAATGGCAGTAGTTTGATGAAAGACAAAATACAAAAAAATGAATAATAAAGAAGTACATGATGTTTTCTGTTCAAACTTTTGATCCAACACAAAGAAGTTCTCTCACCTAGAGTTTTTGACCCATACAGGCTGGTCTTCCTCAGTAGACTAACCCAGTGAGGCTTGTCAGGTGGCTTCTTTAAAGTGTGACGTCAACACTGGGTCAAAGGTATCTGGTAGACGATGCCCCCCCCCCCAATGCAGTTGAGTGAAGCCACATGGAAAGTCTCACTGGGTCAGTCTACTGAGGAAGACCAGTGAGAGTAACTGGTGGAAAGCTTTAGGTGAGAGAACTACATTGTGTTGAATGATAGTAACTTAAGAAGTACATTTTGTATGTTGACGTGTGATGTAAGGCCATATTGATTTGATTAAAGGATGACATCCTCTTGGAACCCCAAAACTGAAGCACGCATGCAAATAAAAAAAAGTTTCTTTCATTATGAAATCTACGTGGTCATGAAGGTTGAACCAATGACATAGAGTATGGTTTGGCAAATAATCTACTCTTCAAATTCTTTTCTTTACATTTTTTCTTTTCTGTTTTATTTTGGCATTCTACAACGTTAACATTGGTACTGTTTTCCAATCTTGTTTTTTTTTTTCAACTTATGGAATACAATGTATATTTGCTCATTTTGCAACAGTTTTGTGCGATTTACTAGTATGGCAGAAAACTTTTTTTTTGGAAATGGCCGAAAATTCATGCGCGCGCGGATGTCATCCATATAATCAAAACAACATGACCTGAAGGGAAACAAACTTGAAGGTTTCTCACCTCCAAGTTGCCCTGGTCCCGTGTGACCAGCACTTGTGTGATGTCATCGTTCTGGATCTGTTCTCTCAGCTGATCCTCCAGCATCTTCCTCTGCTGCTGCATCTCCTCCACTTTCTCTTTTAACATCTTCAGGTTCTTCCTCACACTTTCATCCACTGGTGCTGCAGCATACAACAACATGTACAATGTATGTGACTAGTGCTGTGTACCTAAACCCACATTTAGGTTCAGGTCCGGATTCAAGTCCAGAGGTTTAGGTTCTGGACTCGTAAGACCAGACCTAAACTCATAGCATATACAAAATTGCATGTAAATATATTTTGGCAACCTTGCAGTGTTGCCTGGGCGAAACTGGCCACGTAACATGGAGGCCAACATTGGAGAATGCCCGATGGCAATGTTTTCTTCATTTTGCAGCACAGGTTTTGCAATCTATGGAAAATTTTAGGTGGTTTCAACAAAAAGGGGTCTATGACAATCACATTATTTTTTGGTAATAAGTCTGGAACTGGTTCTTGCCTTTTAGGTTTTTTTGGACTTGAACCTGAACATTTTTACAAGTCCGGAATCGGTCCAGTGAACCAGTACACAGCACTATATGTGACAATACCTTACACTGCCCCTATGGCCTCATCAATCAAAAATGCTACAGAACTTTACCTTAAGTTTTAATTGTTAACATGTGTGTTACAGTGACCTTGAAGTGGTTTATCGGTCATGACATACAAATAAGGCCTAGGAAAATAAATGTTACGTTTCCTGTTTCCCGACCCTAATAGCTTCTTTCGTAGATCCCTGCAAGGAGCATCAATTTTTTGAGCTGATCAACATTTTCTAGCTTCATGATCTACTACTTGAGTGATGAAATATTGTAAAATCAGTTTTCCAACAATGACATTGAAAATAAAAGTGTCCTCATACAAGTGTTACTTTGTTAAACTGCATTGTATAAGTTGGATCACTACAGATTGCTAGTCTAAAAAAAAGAAAAAAATCCCTACTGACCCTAATTTTTTCAGGACTGAAACAGGAAACACAACATATTTTTCCAAGGCCTAAGGCCACACCAATTTAATTTCTTGGTTAACGGATTCGCCGCTTCATTTTTTCTGATTTGCAAATAAAAATAAAAATCCAGAATCAACTGCAAAATGCTCATATTTTGCCCTGAACAGTTGAAAACAGACCTTTTCATCCTAATTGTTACAGTTATTCCATCTTTCAATGCAATGGTATCATTAAAAGTTCAAAATTCATTGTTTAAATTTTGAACCAGCCTTTTGTGTTGACTTCATGGCTCCTATCGTACCATTTTGGGCCATAATACGATGCCTAGGCCTGTTTCTATTTTTATTTTTTTCTCGCCCGCCCGCTCCATTATTTTTCTAGAAAAATCCGTTAACCAAGAAATTAAATTGGTGTGGCCTAAGAACCCAAATCAGTACTGACCATCCATGATGTTCTGTGAAGGCAGTGCAGCCTGTAACACCTCCAAAGGTCCAGACAGAAGTTTGAGGTTACTGACATGTGTGTTCATGGACGTGCGCAGGTCTGTGCTGGTCTGGGAGGCCTTGCTGTGGGCCTCCTTGTACTTGTCCAACTCTCTGGCAATGTCACTGCAGATAATGGAGGCTGATCTGGCTCCATATGCATCCTGTAAGGAGTAGAATTAGTTACTGTTACATTACTGCCAAGTAAGATTAATTTTATATACTGCAAACATCAAGTTCCTCATATTCAAAAAATGAAATCTCATCTGTGTAACTTGGTAGAATCCATATAGTTATAGAGTTCAAACTTCTTCCAACACAGGGAAGAAACTCCCCATAAACTTTCAGCTAATCACGCTTCCGACTTCTGGAGAGTGATCAGCGATCTTTGCATCACATATCTGAGGAAGGTCGACGGGATCAGCTAAAAATTTATGGCAAGTTTCTTCCTTGTGTTGGAACAAGTTTGAACTCTATAACTACCATGTTCCTCGATCAGTTAAAAGTTTATGTTAACTAAGTTTCAAAAATCCAAGATGGCGGTTAGAGAATCCATAATGGCGGTGAAGAAGTAATGTTATACATAATTTAGGAGCATTATATTGTGCCATTGTCTGTGACATGTGACATTGACTACTGTATTACTGTCCAACTTTGTCAAAATCTTCAATACTGGTACAAGTAGAACATGAAATAACTTGATTACTGAAAAATCTGTGACAGAAAGTGGTTGCTGGAAGGGCCCTGGGCTGATATTTACGGTACCACCCATAAAATAAAGGACTCATCTTGAGGCTTGTTTCTGCAGTTATATACCCATAGTATGAAATACTGATTGAAATGTGCCTCAACGGCTAAAAGGACTACCCATTTGTTTGTAAGATTAATAAATAGATAAATAAAAAAAGGAGAACTTACCTGAAAATCCTTCTCCTTCATCCTCTCATCCTCCACCAGTTGTTCCACTTCCCTCAGTCCTGCCTCCACATCCAACCTCACACTGGATAGCACTAAAGACAACAACAACTCAAATTACTCAGGGTTTCTTGCCAAATCCACAAAGCCAATATCCCATGCAGTCACTTTAGTCCTGATTTGTCAGGACATGTAATTTATGTCATACCTGAGCCGTGATAACGTTTGATACGAGTGTTCATCGACATCGGATTAATCTGTAGTTTTCAAATGTTGTGTTCGAAATTATACTGTCTGCAACGGGCAATATTCTGATGCAATATTGTCCAAACATCCAATGAAGAACACAAAAAGTTTTGCACAAGCCAAGTACGTTCTGCCACTGGTGGCCCATGAAGTAGTGCTGTGTACCTAAACCCACGCACATTTGGGTTCAGGTCCGGATTCAAGTCCAGAGGTTTAGGTTCAGTTCTGGACTCGTACATAAATGTCTGGACCTTAACCCATGGCATATACAAAATTGCATGTTGGCAACCTTGCAATGTTTTCTGGGCAAAACTGTGGCCACATACATTTGTAACATTTGGGGGCCAACACTTGACGATGCCTGATGGCAATGTTTTCTTCATTTTGCAGCACAGATTTTGCAATCTATGAAAGGTTTTAGGTGGTTTGGATAAAAAAGGGGTATATGACAATGTATTATTTTTGTAATAAGTCCGGAATCGGTTCATGACTTTTAGGGTTTTTTTTGGACTTGAACCTATAACATTTTTACAAGTCCAAAGCCGGTCCAGCAAACACAGCACTACCATGAAGTACATGTACCTTGCATGGACCCAGACAGTGTTTTCATGGTGTCCTGCCTCACACTCATGGCAGCACACTTCTCCAGCAGGGACTGGGGCAGGCGGGTAGACTCAGGCGTCTCCAGCAGCTGACCCAGGTCCAACGAGTCCAGATATTGGCTGGGGGGAAGACAACAATACAGGGGATCATTCACAGAATACTACTCGTCTTGATAAATTACTACTGACTTAAAGGGGCAGGTACATTTTGTACTGTACAATGTAGTTAGTTAGTACATACATTGTGTACTTCAATTCACCTTTAGATGTACAAAATGTATGTCCCCAGCTACATTTGTACATGTAGGAGAGGCCCCATATACACTGTACAATGTGCAATGTATATGGGGCCTTACATGTATATACTGTAAGTCTCAGAGTACAATGTACCAGCTCCAATATACATTATGTGTTTAGGTGAGACTGAGAACAATTATTTATACATATATACACCCCAGTGAGTGAGTATACACCCCAGCTACATACATGTATACATGTACATGTCTGAGGTCAATTAATAATGATGTGTCATTTGAGCAAATTCCAATCATTTGAATGCATTCTATTCTGTTTCAAGCTGCATTTTTTTCACCCTGTCGCTTCATACAAAAAATGTTTTCTAAAAAAAATCTGAGAACCAACAAATTAAATTAGTGTGGCCTTAGTAAAATCAATCTGTATCATGATACATGTATTATAAGTACTTACTGTAACTGTTCATCTTTCAGTTCAATTTCTGCAACGACCTGCCGTAGAAGCTTTGCCTTCTCCTCACTGGAAATACATGTTTTATGATTGATAAGAAATACAATTTTGCCCCACAGGGGAGGGAGGGGTAAGAGTTGAGATAAATCTGACAAAAGGGCTATACAGTTATGCGGTCAGTAGAAAATGTCATGCTGTAATTTGGATTGGCAACAAGGAAATGAAGTTATTTACCCCTGATGACATGGTCAAAAGAGCTGTACACTAGTACAACTGTATGTGTTCAGCACCAAGGACAGGTCTGTTCAAATGTTATTAGCTCACAAAAGTACATTGATCCTACTAAAACATACATGTATAAGGCCAGTCAGTTTGGCCTTTGGGCAAACTTTAAAATTTTTAACAGCATTGTACTACAATGTATGATATATTATAGGTACCAACACAGATGAACCACTATGATAATTTGAAAATCTCAACATTATGTGACAATTTTGCAGCGACAAGCTACATGTATGATGATAATTACTCACAAAATGTTTCATCAGATCATAGCAGGGTAAGACTGGTGTCAGGCCAAGGGAAAAAATGCTGTGTTTCCAAAATTTCCCAAAAATACTTAGGGTTGGTACATGTAGGTAGGGATCTTTCTTTCTTTTTTCTTTGACTAGGTGATAGACTTTGGTGATCTCAAGTGATCCAACTTACAGTTTAAAAAAGTAAAATTTGCATGAGGACACTTTCATTTTCGATGTCAACGTTGGAAAACTGATTAACGTTTCATCACTGAGTAGGTGTCAGATCATGGAGCTAGAAAAGGTCTATCAGCTCGAAAAATGTATGTTGTCCCTTGCAGGGATCCACACAAAAAAAGGCCAGGGCAGGGCTTGAAATTAACAGTGTCCTGATGGCCACTGTCCACTAAAATATAGACTGGGACAACTAAAAAGATACTTTGGGACATTTTTAGGACAATAAAAGAATAATCAGCATCAGAATGTCACTCAGGTCTTCTTTCTTTTATTAGGCACACGTCTGAACTTTTGGCTCCGAAAAATCCCCCTAGAGCGCACCATAGAGCTGGGAGTGAGAACGTAAGCAAAATAACGTTGACTTCAAGTTGAAGTTGTACAATACTTTGAATCCCGAAAAACAGGTTGGGACAGTTCATCCTCACTTCGGGACAATTGAAATTTATTTTTGGGACAGTGCTGGGACAATAGGAAGCAAAGTTAATTTCGAGGCCTGGGCTAGGGTCAGCATCTCTTTCTATAGGGTTGGTCGAAAAACAGGAGTCACAACTGTTACATTTTTTTCTTAGGCCGTACTTACCTGTACATTGGAGGTAAGTAAGTACAATTATAGCAAGGTGAGTACAAGTGTTCAACTTGGTACTTACCTGTACATGGAGGAATACTCATGTGCTTCCATGGGCACCAGTCTCTCAAAGATATCTGGTCCTGTAACACTTGTGTCGATTGGCTGGAAAGGAAGGGCTTTCACTAGCGATGCACCTGTTAAAACATCAGAACTTACATGTAGTATCATTCCATTGCAGTTGACTGTGTAAATTGTCAGTTTTATAAGTTATAGGAGAATTTACACCTAGTACGCGCAAACATACATGTAGCCTCATATTATACATTAAAATGTTTTCAATTTCAGGAAGTTCCAACAGTGACTAAGACTTAGTGTTTGTGACATGTGGTAGGGGGTAGGGGCGGGGAAGCTACTAGCGGTGCCCTGGAAAGCTAAAACAGTTGCAGACCATTAAATTTTGCACATAAATTTTTCAAATTGCACCTAAAATTTTTGCCATCATGCAATTTTGCACATTCCTGAAAAAAAAGTATTTTGAGCCCTGAATCTCTATTGTCAACTACATCACAAAAAGTAAAAAAAATACATGTAAACGAGAGAAATCCCACATTTCAGCTTTACTAACACCCGATTATCAATAACAAAGATCAGAGGGTGAGAAACAAAAATATAATCAGCTTCCTTCTAATTTACCTTTCAGCTCTGGCATAGACTCAATTGCTGGAACTGTCTCATGGTACACAAAGTCATTATCCTTTTTAGCTCCTCCATACCTGCATCAAAAATACAAGGCAATCAGATATAGTTGATATACAGACAGCAGATAAACAGATGTAGATACATGTACATTGTATGTCACCTCTCTGACAGAATATACAGAAACTGTAAGAAACACACAATGCACACATGTTCACAAACAATCATACACGTGCATACAAGTACACAATTCAAATAAGATCCTAATTTGCAGGAATTATGTGACTAACTGTTGATCATATTCTCCACCCAAGGACAGTCTTATCTTTTTACAAAAAAAAGGCTATTCTAGCACCTCCTATCAATTATGCAAATAAGGAATGGATTTGAATGAGTTATGTTCACTGATGTGTGCACACAAAGGCAGACAGACATTACAAAAGACATCCGACAGATCTACTAAAGATAGAACGCATGTCACATGTAAAATGAACTACATGTACATCTAATAAAAAATACATTGTATACAGTGTCACATAATATTATGAACTCATTTAAAAGTGAAAAATACCTCATTATACAAAATAATAATATACATGTACAGTGTCACATACTGTGAACTCCTATAAAGAAGAACAGAAAGACAGAAGAGGCATCTTTTCTCTCATATGACAAGACTAGAAAAGGCCAGTAGGACTTACTTTCCTCCCACCACATCCATGGTAAACTGTAAGGCTTCGGAAATACTGTCTAGTTGACCCTACAGAGGTGGGACAAGCTTCAGTTTAGTCTCGTGTTCATATTTCAATGACTTCTAAATAAAGCAAATACTGTTCTTGTCCACAAAAAAAAAGCAATATAATGTCAAAAAGAATTATTTTCATTGTTAAGAACTGTAGGAACAGACCTTTGCTAGTTTGACTGCTTCAGTTAACTTGTCCAAGGCACTCTTGTAGTAAGTGACCTGCAAGGTATGTTACAAGGTCAATTCTACATGTTTGTAATGCTTATAATTATGCTCTGAGTGGACACTAGATTCAGTGCTGGTCAATAATATGCCGGCAAGTCCGCATGGGAACAAATAATGAGTGTGTTGATTTAACAGCAGTTAATTTTTACAGTTCCCATCAATACATGACAGTACATTCATATACATCAAAAATGCCTTCTCATCAATATTATATATTTTACATTACAAAAATGAAATGTCAAAAACTCTACTGTACAGTTCAGAATTCTGAATAACACAAAATTCTGATATCTTACACCACATATATGTACATGTATCTGACCTCAGCTACTCTGCACTATAACAAACAGACATGTACACCATTGGTAGACAGAAAAGAAAGACAACTAAAAACAACTCACCTTTTCTCCAAACTTCTGCTGCTCATCTGCCTGATTTCCCATGAATAACTAAAGATGAAACACCAGGGATTCAAAAGAGTTCACATGGTTATAATTTCTATAACTTAACATCAAGTCTTCAAATGCATAGAAATGAAACATGTAGGCTAGCAAAGACTTGAGAGAATATCTGTTGTTGTTTTGGCTAAGAAAACAGTTATCTGCTGATATACAGTACATACTGTAAAACATGATCATTGTACTGTACAAACATAAAAATGTAAATTAAATGTTCACAACTGTTTAATTTTTCATGATGACCTGGTCTTCACTCCAAATTCATGACAACATTAATATGCATCAGAATGATTAAATTTGTATCACTAACTGTTATAGTACTACATAATTATTTCAAGTTCAACCCAAACTTAACAGTGAAAAACAGATTTCCCTGTACATGTCTATCGAAAAATAAATGAAAATACATGTAAATGAATCTGCCCTCATGTCCAAACTGTTGGATATCCCCGCAACAAATTATACAGTATAATTTGCTTAATGATGATCATAACAAAATATGGAGCAAACTTACGTATGAAATACATGTAAAGTAGTTGATTTTTATCTGCAGGAGTCTTTTCCACTCTTTGTGATGTTTAGATCCGATGATCTGTGTGGCATCAGGAGTGTCCAGAATTCTCAACCCTTGTGTGTAGAACGCCACCACCTGTAACATGCAGTTATATATGTGTTTGTTTGTTTGTTTGGTTGTTTTATTAGGCCTAGGAAAAAATGTTGTGTTTCCTGTTTCCTGTACCAACCCTAGAAAAACCTGCCGACCCTCACCTTTTTTTTAGGGGTGGACCCCAAGCTGATCAACCTTTTCTAGCTCCATGATCTGACACCTGAGTGATGATATGTTGTACAATAAATTATTGGTTTTCTAATATTGACATTAAAAATGAAAGTGTCTTCATGCAAGTTTTACTTTCTTCAACTGAATTGTATAAGTTGAACCCCTATAGTCATGTACATGTAGATATCACTGAAGTCAAGAAAAAAAAGATAATCCCTACCTACCAACCCTAATTTTTTCAGGACTGAAACAGGAAACACAGTCAACACTTTTTTTTCCTAGAGCTTAGGATTCTGGGCCAAACACCATTATGTCACACAATCCCACTTATAATTGTTACATTTTGTATAAGTTATACAAGTCATGTATACATGTATGTGTGTGTGTCATTCAACGTCATCAGAGGAGCAAAGAGGAAAAGATCGAAAGCGATCTCGAACCAGTTAAGCTCATTAAAAAGCTAATCTTCCACTGGTCGTGACAGAGAAGACGGACACTATGTACAGGTTCATTGTACCAGAGAAATTCCCCTAGCTCTTTTCAACAAGCACAATCAACAGTGGGCCACAGCTTGATGTCCCATCCGAAGGACTGCGACTCTAAACAGTAGCATGCATGTCAGGTGAGCGACATCAGCCGGGATTCGAACTCCCAACCCCTTAGTCCAGAGGCAGGATCGCTAACCACTGGACTACGCACGCTACTGATGAGGTTCCTCCGGGGTTTCTCAAAGGTTTTGTCAGTAATGCTGTATTGTGAGTATTTTCCATGTGTGAGTCTGTACCTGCATACTGATCCTGGCTACCAGGGAAGGTTTCCTGTTGTCCTGCATGGACTTCTCCAGCAGACATTCTTGTGCTTGTCCCTACAGATAAAAACAAACAAGTTACTCAGCCAGTAAAACTCTTCATTTTATTATAAATAAATGCACAATATAGTCATCCATCTATGACACTCAAATGTCACTCAATCTATAGACATAAATTAGGCCGATTTAATTTGTTTCTTGGAGTTGTCCTGTCCATTTTTTCCTGATTTGCAAAAAAAAAAAAAATTCAGGTTCTGAATCAACTGCAAAATGCTCATCAGACAATGAAAGACATATTTTGGCCCCAATGGTTGAAGAAAGTTGTTTAAGTTTTTCCAATGTAACAATGCAACTTAGTTTCATTTAAAGTTCAAAATCTAATTGTTTTAATAATAAACCAGCCTGGTATGTTGACTTCGTGGCTTATAACATTTCCGGCCTTCATGGGGTGCCTTAATGGCCTGTTTTTTTTTTTATTTCGCCCAGTCGCTTCATATCTTTTCTGAAAAAATCCAAGCAACAAATTAAATTGGTGTGGCCTTATGGAGATTAACATACTTCCAGGCATTTTGAGTGGCATCTGTCACTCTTCTTCAGTGTTATGCTTTTTTTTTTTCTTTTCCATCACTTCTCCCACTACATATTGTGTAGTGACTGTAGTGCAGTCCCTAATATACATGTACATACAGTCACACACACTCATGCAAAGAACTGGTCAAAAAACATGTCACGTAAACATGGTAAAAAAGTGCACAGCAAAGCAGTCAGAATTGCCCTGATAAAGATGACAGAAGGTCATCAAAACATCGGCTTGTAAAAAGAATAATAAATGGTTGTGATCAAAGAAGTTTGCTATTCATTCATTTACCAACCTGATGAAATTATTTACTGAAACATGGTAAAAGCTTACCAACATCAAGTTGATGTAAAAGTTCAGCATGTCAAATGACGTATCAGGTGTAGGCAGGCTCCCAAAATGGTCTCTCAGATAGCTGAAGGCCCCCGCAGCACATTGGAAATGAGTGCAGGAAACTTTCATGCCCTTAAAAAAAGAACACAGATGGCCTTAATATTAATAATAAACGCATCTCTTGATTAAAATGTCAAAACTTAAATCTGAAATTAGTTGAAGTGTCTCATCCCAATTATGTGAACCAAGGAGGTTTATGCAGACAGACTGGGCAACATTTTTGTCCTTTATGAGTGGCAAAATTCCATCAAATATTTGACTGAAAGATCCGTCAAATATGCCAAAAAGCAGTTACTCAAGCAACAGGATATGACTTTGGAAACGGTTAGTGTCAATAACGAAAGGTAGTGGATGCTACCTGAAACTTCTGACCGTTTCCAAAGTCATATCCAGTTGCTTGAGTAACTGTTCTTGCCAATCTTGGCGTATCTCATTACGTACCTGGATGTCTAAATTTCACCAACGATCTGTCAAATATTTGACAGAAAGATGGACACATTGATATGATATTTTATTACGCAAGATCCTTACCTCTTCAGACATTCTGTTGTCAGTCGACCCGAGGATAGAATGTAAGGCAGCTGTGAGAAACAAACAAACAAACAAAAACATCAGCATCTGGGTAAACACATGCACGCAGCTCAAGAATGCAGCTCAATTTCTCTAATGTGACATATTGTAACAAAAACCATTTACATATTAACATGATTATAGTTTCATAACTTTTTGTGTGTTGTGAGCAGGTGCTCCATACATGTATATTAAGGATGGTTCTGTCCAAAAAAGATTGGCAATCAGCTACATGTACATGCAAACCAGCATGGTTGAGAAAATTGAAAATCAAATTATAGTATAAACAAGGACATTATACGTCAATCTGTATAATGTCCTTGATATAGATAACTTCAAAACAACATTGTGTGGCTGACAAATGCTTGTACACTGGCCAGGTGTAGAGGACCAACCTTGGGATATGCATAAATTCTCAGAGTAACTGATTTCTAGTACTGAATTTCTGGTTGTTTCTTTTTTGTCAGCTACTTGCTGTTTTCTGATAAAGTAAGTTTTCTATATCACATTTTGCTCATTACGTTCAGGGGTGGAGACTGAGTGTTAGTCATTCTATGGGCGTAACAGTAGACTCTCCACCTAACCTGAGTTGTAAAGTGGGACATTGACATAGGGACTAAGTACAAGAACATCTTACCCAGGTTATAGAGGATTGAAGCCTGTTCAAATCTGATGTCAGCAGAGGTGATCAACTTGCCAGAGTAAACGTCACTCCTGAAATCAAGACACTAAACAATACACAACATGTCCTGAACCATATTACTGATGTTCTGTATCATTAGTGCTGTGTACCTACATGTAAACCCACATTTAGGATCAGGTCCGGATTCAAGCCCAGAGGTTTACAATGTAGGTTCAGTTCCGGACTTGTAAGTCCAGACCTAAACCCATGGCATAATACAAAATAATATTGCATGTTGGCAACCTTGCAATGTTGTCTGGGTGAAACTTTGGCCACATAACATGGAGGCTGGTACTTGATGATGCCCGATGGCAATGTTTTCTTCATTTTGCAGCACAGATTTTGCAATCTACAGATGGTTCTAGGTGGTTTGGAAAGAAAAGGGGTATTTGAAATACAGGTTTACTTAGCCCTGGTTAGGCCGGTACTTGAGTATGGCCATGTGCTACTTGTTGGTTGTAGTAAACAACAGGACCAAGCGATCGAGAAAGTACAGAGGAGGGCCCTAAGGATAATCTCTCTTGGTGGGAGGAGGAGTGTCCCTGTCCTTCCCACTCTCAGGGAACGTCGTGAACTGGCAACAGTTAAACTGCTCAAAAACATGCTAAACCCGGAGCATCCACTGCATGACTTGGTACCGGACGTGAGGCCAGCAGGAACGGGAATGTCTCTCAGGAACTCGGGGGGGATCAGGGTACCCAGGGCTAGAACAAACAGACTGTATAATTCATTCTTACATTACTCAATCCGTCTATACAACAGCCAAATGAAGGCTTAGTGCCTCTGTGTTTAATGTAAGTGTTGTGATGTCTCTAATGTACTTTTGCTAAGTTGACTCGTGTTTTACTTTTTGTCAACACAATTCAGTTGTACCATGTACTACTGCTATGTTGATTTTTATGAATAAAGTATAAGTATGAAATGGTGTTTTATGGTATTAAATAAGACCAGACTTTTAGGTTTTTTTGGACTTGAACCTAAACATTCTTACAAGTCCGCATCCAAGTCCAGTGAACTGGTACACCACACAGTATCATGCACTGATGCAACAGAATATCAAGGTTTAATTCTTACAATGAATACAGCACTTTGATATACATACTTCTGGCTATGCAAGGATTCAACTGTAGAGGCATCAGACAGAGGAAAGGTTTCCTACCATGTAAAGGGCACGGCTGCATCGCCCCCCTCCCCCATAGGAAACCTGCTCTGCAGATACTGCAGTTGTCCATAGTACTTCCTCAGGACACTGCAACCCTCAAAGTCCTGGCTCACTCGGACTGCACACTGGAAGTTACAACAGTTGAAAACATCAAGTTTTAATCTACAGACCTGCAATCTAACCTGCACCTGCACACACTAACATGTGTATACATGGGGTGGGTACACATGGTGCCAGAGTATACAGTAACAGTGCAATTTTACAGAATACAGTGTAATTTTACGGAATACAGTACAATTACTAGTAAAATTGCACTGTATACTCAGTCTAGTAAACTTGCAATGTATACTAATACGATTGCACTGTATTCCGTAAAATTGCACTGTTTACTTTATCATGATTGCACTGTATTCCATAAAATTGCACTGTATACTAGTAAAATTTCATAAAATTGCACTGTATACTCTGGCACCCCAGGTACATGTATAAAAAATTCAGGTCCAGGTCCGGATCAGGTTCAGAGGATCAGGTCCAGGTCCGGACCTAAACCTGGACCTGATTATTGTACAGTAGTACTATATCATATTTTGGAGTGTGAAACACAAGTACAGGTCACTCTGACTAGTGTGTATATCTATTGTACTGCTCGGTGCCAACCTCTTGTCTTGGCCTGCTGACTTTTGCGCACTATAATAATTGCAGAGTAGACTGGAGATTTGGGGGAACTGATAAACAAAAGAAGGGCTGACATTCTGATGTTGGTTATTTTTCTATTGTCCCAAAAATTGCCAAAGTGTCTTTTTAACTGTCATTGTGAGATTAAATCACATTCAATCATGTTTCTACTAAAATGACAGTTTACTAAAGAAAGACAGGTGGCCAGACTTACCCAGTCTTATGTCATAGATACCAGTCTAACGTTCTGACAAAAATTGTCAAATCAAGTTTATTATGTTAGTTTGTACATTTGTCATGTAAGAGAAGATGACACTTGCCTGTTGTAACTGTCGCAGTTTCCTTATCTCTTCATCATACCCCCTGGGATCTTCACTGTAAAACGTACTCACATACTGTAATCAACACAAGAAGAACCATTGACTAATAGTAATAGGAATCAAACTTACACATGTGTAGTTTCAATATTAATGATAACACTTGACGAGGAGTATTCAGCGGCTGTACTAGTACTCATTTGTATGATTCCATGACTCATAAACTAGAGTTACACAATCTCATACCTTCACCAAATGATGTTCACTCCTACGGATATATAAAGAAGGCTATGAAAGCACTTCCTCATAAACTATGTAATTGACTAAGTTATATTAATTTTAATGATGGTGAACTTTACATAACTTCCAAATGCCACAAGTATGGAATTATAATATATATATAAACAACATTTTCTCATTTATTAGGCAAATTACACTCACACATTCTCTCTCTCTCTCTCACACACACACACACACACACATACACTCACTCACTCACTCACTCACACACACTCAAACAAACACACACACACACACACTCTCTCTCTCTCACACACACTCACACACACAGTCACACACACAGGCACACACTCATGCATGCACGCACACACACACACACATACACACACGAACACACACACACGAACACACACACACACGAACACACTCACACACACACAGTGCACACACTCATGCATGCACGCACGCACGCACACACACTTACACACACACACACACACTGTCACACACACTCACGCACACACACACACTCACGCACAAACAAGCAAACGCCAGTGAAAAGTTTATAGTCAAAAGTAATTTAACCTAAGAAAAAAGGGCCTAATTTGCATAACTAATACGAAATTGCATCCTCTGATATGTTTAACTTCATTAAGGTGTACGCTAATTAGAGTATGCAAAATGTGTGTCTAAAGTGATTGTCTGAAGACATTTGCATACAAATAATCAATGATGAAAAATAAGTATCAAAATGGATGTGAATTTGAGTCATTTGTATGTCACCATTTTCTGACCATGTTTCAGGATCCTTCAGAGATGCTCATACCTTACCAATATGACAGGAAGATCCTATCAATAGTGCAAGATTTCTACCACATGTAATGTTACATGTACATTCAGTCAATAAAGGCTTTCTGGGTTCTCTTCAGATGTACTTTGATATGATTTGTTCATGTCGATACGTACTACTAGTAGACTGATCAACGTCCAACAGGGCTGGAAATATTGGGTGCATGTGCACTTTAGTGCACCCATATTTGGAGCTGTGCACCCATTTTTTTTCTGTGGGTGCACCAATGCACCCAAATATTTTTGTAGGTTTCGTAGGTATGTAAAGATGTTAAATGTGTAGTAGTTACAGCATATTCTTAACATCTGAGTGTCAGAAAAATAATATAATCATTGTTGATGTTATAGTGCTTTTCTTGAAAATTATGAAACATAACTATAGTTTTTGCTGACATTCTACTTATCTTATCTTACATGGTGAACCTAAAATATTTTTTGTGCACCCAATTTTTTAGGTTGGATGCACCAGTCAGTGCACCTTTCCCAAAAACAAATTTCGAGCCCTGTCCGTCCTGTGTGGACTACACTGACTTTACTACACGTTTAGGCATTAGTTTGAACCCTGTACATAGTACACTACTCCACATGACATGCATATTATACAGGGTTAGGTTTCATACATTTCAGAAAATTTTGAACAACTACGAACTTCCGGGATGAGAAGTATATGGTATGAACGCTCCTTCGCCTGTCCTGTGCCTCTCGGGAACAACACTCCTGAGGAACGAAGTTTTCAGGATAAAGTCTTACCTTTCTTATGACAGGGCCGAATTCGTCCTCTTCTGTAGGAGAAAATTTCAACTCCAGGCACAACATCGGCATCCGCGGAACTGCCTCCATCTTGGCTATTGTGATGACGTCATGGTCATCTGGAACAACGATTTGCTGTAAATATGGCGGATTACGACACGTCGCCGTATTGCGGCAGTGAAGGATTACGACATGTCTACGGCTATTAGGTCATGTTGATTTGATTACTAGTATATGGATGACATCCGCGCGCGCATGAATTTTCGGCCGTTTCCAAAAAAAAAAAAATTCAACCATACTGTAAATCGTACAAAACAGTTGCAAAATGAGCAAAAATATACCATAAGTTACAAAAAAAAAATTAGATAAAAACTATACCAATGTCGTAGAATGCCAAAATCAAACGAAAAAAGACGAAATTGTAAAGAAATGAACTTGAAGACTAGATAATTCGCCAAACCATATTCTGTGCCATTTGCTCAACCCTCATGACCACGTAGATTTCATAATGAAAAGAACTTTTTTTTTTGCAAAACTTTTTTTTATTCGCACGCTCGCATCAGTTTTGGGGCTCCCGGAAGATGTCATCCATATAATCAAATCAACATGGCCTTACTACTAATACTAGTACCAGTTTCCCATCCCCAGGATGCAATGCGAAAACAGGGGTCTAAACTCATTTGCATAGGACAGGAAGGCATGATCCTGGTGACGTTAAATAGTTTGTTTTTCAGTGTGTTTTGACCGTCCTGTCAATAACAGTGCTTGTCAGAAGCTTAAGGCTATGGACAGGAAAGACTCTATTATATATATCCGGACGATAATGCCAATAGTAGGACATTTTGTTATTGACAGGATCATCCTGTCAACAGTAGAATTTTAATTTTCCTCTACTTTTGCACGTCTCCTTTTCAGGGTCCAATCAGTTGTGATGAAATTAGCTCTTGTGCGATTATGTTAGCCTCCACCAGGCCTTTCTACGGGAATACGGATCGTAGAGTTCGGCAAAAAAGAGTATTAAAAATTGGCCAAGGGAGTCCGGCCGCGGGAGGTACTTTCTTTCCCTCCTAACTGCGCGGCCAGTCAAACCTGCAAGGCGGCCAAACTCCCCTGGCAATTATTCTCCTATGATATAGCCAGCGTGGTTAGTGGTAAAGACTACGATCATGTGCTCGGAAAGAAGTGACATGATGTAAGTTTGGAGCTTCCTGATTCGATTCGCAATTTGTGACGAGTGATTCTTAGTTTTGTGATGGTGTATCTGTGACGTACAGTTTAAGGTGAAATAAATAAATACATCAATACATTATGTAGCAATAACAGGTGCAGCAGGAGCGCTAGCTTGATGCCGTTGTTGGTGAGGGTCTGCCCGCCCTGTCCCACCGTACCGTTCCCAGCTTTCCTACGTGAACGCCTGTCTGCTGGAGGTTATGAGGATCCGGACCGTAGTACCATTTTCGCTTCCCCACACCACCACAGAGACGGACAAAGTGCGGGAATATGACATCCCTAAGGCCATGTTGATTTGATTATATGGATGACATCCTCTGGGAACCCCAAAACTGATGCGCGCGTGCGAATAAAAAAAAGTTTTGAAAAAAAAAAGTTGCTTTCACTATGAAATCTACGTGGTCATGAAGGTTGAACAAATGGCACAGAATATGTTATGGCGAATAATCTACTCTTCGAATTCATTTCTTTACATTTTTGTCTTTTTTCCTTTGATTTTGGCATTCTACGACATTGTATCGTTTCTAAATGTTTTCCTTGCAACTTATGGTATATTGTTGCTCATTTAGCAACTGTTTTGCACGATTTACAGTATGGTTGAAAACTTTTTTTTTTTGGAAACGACCGAAAATTCATGCGCGCGCGGATGTCATCCATATAATCAAATCAACATGGCCTAAGGGGAAACAGGTATCTCTACCCTTCATGAGGTCAAAATTCATTTTGTGACGTTGCAAAAGTGGTCCCCATATCATAATTAGTATCAAATGTGGCCATATGACTGATATTTATAGGTGACAATCCTTTTCAGCTAAAAGGAAATATTTACCGAACTGTTATGTTTACGGTGTGTGTTTGTGAGTGTTTGTACGTTTGTGTTGTGTCGTTTGGCTTGTCTTACTTTTTGTCGTTCTTTATTGACAGAACAAGTCAACACTTATCATCTGTGAAATTGTTAAAGGGGCATTATGTAACATTTTGCACAAAAATTGACATATCTTATTTAAAGAAATATCTTTGTAATTGCCATTTAGTTTTCAACATATTTGTGCAATTATTGTGCAACACATTTTTGACATTTCTAGTTGGTGCTAAAACAGCCCACACGAGGCGCACACAGTTTCTGGTGCCACCACAAACGCAACCAAACATGGCTGACATCCGTGTTTCAAACCTTTAAACACACTTAAGGCGTCATATTTTGGCACCTCAACTTCCTGAAAAACATGTATTTACAATCAAGTATAGGTCACTGAACTTAATTTGTAAAGAAAAAACATTTACAATGTACGTTTTGTATTGCACTAAAATTACATACTGTAGCTTTAATGTGAAATTTCCAGGCCGACATGCCGCTTGTCCTGGGGAGCAGCTGGCCAGGCTGGAACTTTTCCTGTTCTTCTCCACCCTGCTGCAGTCCTTCACATTCAACACGCCAGAGGGCGCCCCTACTCCAGCATGTACAGATAACGGCGTCATTGGTTCGAGTTTGACCCCGTTTGAGCTCTGTGCGACCTTGCGTTAGCTTTGGCTGAAGTCGCTTTAACAATATGAAAGAGAAAATGCCTTTGCTCGACAGTTTTATAATGTATGGAAACAGTTGATTTACCACAATTAAAAGACTATGATAGGACTACACATGTACATGTCACTCAAAAACTTTTGTCAGTGTCAGTCCACGATTTAAAATCTATTTGTTTTTATTTGTCATATACAATAAGGATTTTTTTTTCGTTTGTGAAATCATTTAAATCTTGTTTGCTGAGTGTACATGTCTGTTTGCTGAGTGTGAAATTTCTAACGACCTCTACGGGCCATGGCCGCAGGCAAAAATTATAGTCTATTTAGTCTATCGCCCTATATAATAATAATAACTTTATTGCACAACAGTTGTACATGGTACAAAGTATGGCAAAACGTATCTATAAACTTAACTATGGACTAAACTAACTAATACAGGAGTTTGTGGCTGATATAGGATGTGAATGAACTTTTACAATATTGGAGGAATTTCTTATGTCTAGACATTGTTTGATATACATTCCTATATCTACCATACATGGGTTATCACAGGTCATTATTATCTTAAATTTGCTACTTAAATCCATCGATGTAAATTCTGGTACATATGACGATAGTTTCGTATTTAATGAATTGCGTACATCAACATACTTAGGACATTCCATCAAAAAGTGATACCCATTCTCAACTAGTTCTGGGCAGAATGGACAAACCCTCTGGATTGCATCTCTACCCATAAAACCGTAATTGCACTGGTCTTCCGTTCAGTGAAACAGCGATGTACTATAAACTATTGACTGTTGAGTTGAGAACTTTGAACATGGAGGTCTATGGTTTGAACAATGAAACTTTGAACCGGAAGGTCGAGACAAGTTTAAATCTGTGCTGCGCAGAACGGATGCGCGTAGATATTCTTGACTGCGTCACTTGAAAATATGCTTTCTGTCGTCAGCCTGATAGCTGATTTCATCCGGGAGATCTTCTCTGGGCAGGCCGTGGAGCCTTTTGTAGTCTTATTTGTGGTCCTCATTCTAGCATGTTTCTTTTATTTGAAGTGCTGCAGAAACCAGACCGATACCCGGCAGGACGTGTGAATGTTCTCGGGCATCTCCTCGCCTTGGGCCGAGCGCCTCACCTCAAGCTGACGGCGTGGAGGCGGCAGTACGGGGACGTCTTCACCGTCAGGATGGGGATGGAAGATGTGGTGGTCAAAGACGCACTCGTGGACACATTTCTCCACGCGGAAAGGAACGTCACCAACAAGTCTCAGTATTTTCTGCCTTTTGAAGGAGGTAACTATTAGATATTAGCGGCCATTAGCCTGGTATCCAGTCTGATTCGTGGTCGGGGCCGAAAGAGCTCTGTCCCGCCCGTGTCACATAGGTTTCCAGGTGTGTATTTTACGAGAGATTGATTAGCCCTCCATTTGGGGGAAACCAAATCCCCAAGCATACTGTCTCTGATTAGCGTAACACCCCCACCGGGACGGCCTGTTGCATTGGGCGGGGGAAGCTTATATAATAGAGCCCCCGAAGACACAACCTGCCCGAACAACGGCCCTAATACCCGAAATCACGTAAGACTGGATACCAGGCTAGTCATGATCAGATATCAGAGATATCATTATTACAACCACAGTAATTATTACAAAATTTAAGTATTACAACTCTGCATTCTTTATTTCCAGGTCAACGTGTGTGTCTTGCGCAGCAGCTGGCCAGGCTGGAGCTTTTCCTGTTCTTCTCGACCCTGCTGCAGTCGTTCACCTTCAAGCTGCCAGAGGGCGCTCCTTCTCCAAACACATCATTGGTTCGAGTTTGATCCCGCATCCGTGCGATCCCGGGTTCTATGGCTAGATGTATGTGTGAGAAATGACGAGACTCGTCTGATTTTTCTAGTTATCATCTAGATGAAAGTTTGCAGAAAATGGTGCCTATATTATTGTCATTCCTTAATGGCACTTACATACAATATGTATAAGGAAAAATCTACATCCACTACATCCACATTCTAGCTACACGCTTAGTAATGGCAATCTTTAGCGAGAGCCCGCTACGTTGAAACATGTTGTCATAGGTTCACAATCACAGGACATAAAACCTATACTTATAGAAGAAATCGTAACTAGATGGTTCATGCATTTTGAGAACGTAACATCCAACAAGCCTCTACATGAAAGATGAAATTGGTTTAGTCTATATACATCCAACAAATATATACTAGTAGCGAGATATAAGTGTTTGGAGTCACTTCACATAAAAGTATATGGCATGCTAGTTCATTAAACCTTTATAATGTCAGATATATGGATCTTTCTTCGTTCGGCAACCGGACGTGCAAAGGTCACGCTATGAATGTGTGCGCTTTTCAGACAGAGCAAACATTACTGGAGTCTGTTCCATGCCCGTAGATAGGATTTTGAAGGAGGGGGGGAGGGGTTCTTCCCAGTAGCTCAAAATAAGATGTAAACCATATGTACGTTGTCAAGAAAAGTAGAAAAAAAAATCATTTTTGTTTAATGAGGATTGGGCAAAAGCAACTACGCCTTTAGAAGCCCTTCCTCAAGAACAAGTATAAACAAATATAAAATACTTTAAAAAGGCGCACAGGAACAGCGATACAGAGGAAATACAAGATGGATGAAGACGCATTTAATTACGAAAATCTTTTTGTACAAGAGATAGACGTATAATGTCGAACATATTGTAAAGTTTTGTGAATATAAAATTGAAGTGGATCCCCGCCCGTAAAGTAAAGCTCAGAATGATGAAGAACAGACTTCTGGAAACACGTACCCAGATCGCACGAAGTTTACGAAGTACACCATTTCGTCATCAGTGACGTCACGAGTCAGGCCGAAGATCGAAGAGGAAGAACTTCTCCTCGCCATGAGCGCAGCCAATGAAATGATCCCTACTGGAGTAAGACGGCCGATGCGTGAAGAAGACGTAGTACGTGTTAATTGTGTTCAAGCTCGGCATAAATGTCTGCTGTGAGAACGGTGGAGGCTACGAACACGGCGGTCTGTCACTACGGCATTCTTTCCCATTGTTAGGCGCGTTCTAAAAAGTATCGGGTTACAAGACGCTATTTTGGCCAGTTTTGGACTACCCGTTAAACATTTGAAAGTAAACAAATAGTATTTAAGGGTAAATTTCGTCAAATTAAAATGAAATTATCGTCTTTACATCCTTTGAATGTTGAATGCTTATGTTAAATTACTGATTTCTTTTAAATTTTGCTTCGAAAGACGATCATTTTCAGGTTTCTAAGCACAAGTCATGTCATGTTTTTAGGCAAACATCGTTTAAAAACCTGGCTTCGTATATTACCCTTAATCCCCAATTTCTATATTTTTCGACGACTAGGAATAAGATCAAAAATCGTGTTTTAGGGATTTTTTCAATTACCGACTTTAAGTATAGTTTTCGTTGACAAATTTTTCGCACTCAATTACTCATAATTCAAAATCAAGCGCTTTTTCCAAAAATCTCTAAAACACGATTGTCGGTAAAATTATTACAGTCATTTTGAGCCGTCAATAATGAGGTATGTTGGACTCTTCATGCTTCCAGCTTTAAACGAGTTTTGCAGACATGTCATCTTGCCCGAAAGTGGGGAGTGTGACATTCATACCAGCATGAAGAATCATTACAATATTCAATGTCACCCACCAGCACGACAGTAGCTTCGCTACATGTTTCATGTCCACAACAAAATGATAAGCGTATATGTACTGTCCAGGAAACGGTTTGTATTTGTGATATTGTGATTTGTTTCTGTTAGGAAGTACTCGTGTAGAAAGGGCTTGAAAACAAGGCTGACAGGAAGGCATATGCTGTATTCTCGAGATGTCATCATATAAGGCTGAAAGGTCACCATGTTAGTGAATGATTTCTGGAAACATTAGTTCACCACACGTGCACCGTCACGAGGTAGTCCACCTGTGGCCGATTGTAGAGTTTGGCAAAAGAGCCCAACCCGCCCCCTCCCTCTAACTACGCGGTCACATGAACTCTACGGTGGCTCATATACTTCCTTTGTCAATTCCATTCTCCCTATCAGGCTAAATTGTGCTGTTTTGTATGTGTCTAACCACACGGATCCCAAAACAGTACAATTTACCTAAATAGGAAAAATATTTGGCCAGAGGAGTTTTGCTATCATAGAGTCTACTTGAGGGGAGAAATATACATAGTATCCTCTTGTGAACTGAGTCTATCTCCTTGTCAATTGCTTCCCTTTTTGCTGAATTCTATAATTTGTACACCCGTAGGAAGGCCTGGTGAAGGCTAGTTCAGCACCAAGGAAAGGGACTGTCCTTACTACATAGTATAAGATAGATCGGGTTGTGTGCATTCACTTTGTTCGGATTTGGTTCGTGCGGTAGCCTCTGTTGTCATTTGCCCTATGTCCCTTTCACAGTCCGCTGTACCAAAGTCTACCGTGAACACAAACCACGGTGAGCGGGGAAGAGCCCAGTCCCATCGGGCGCCAGTGTAGCGACGCGGACTCCGAGGGTTCCTCAGATGACGAGCGGTGTCCCAGCCGGGACAGACCGCGTCACAAGAAGCTATTCTCACACCGCAAGACGTCTTCACGAGAAACGTCTTCGCCTTCTCTGGTGGTACAGCATCTACCCACACCCAGTCCCGTCAGGAGAGAAGACGGCGGTCTCCTCCTCACGGTGTGGTGAAACAGCGCCGCCTAGCGTTTTCTTCACATCCGACAGGCAAGGGAGAAGTCAGCGCCCTTCGCGCAGATCACACAGGGACAGTTACTACCGGTTCCCAAGATGTACAGGTAATTACCTACATGAAAAATGTGTGTGTGTGTGTGTGTGTGTGTGTGTGTGTGTGTGTGTGTGTGTGTGTGTGTGTGTGTGTGTGTGTGTGTGTGTGTGTGTGTGTGAGTGTGTGTGTGTGTGCGTGTGTGAGTGTGTGTAACATCTTGGTGTCATGTCTTAAATTGTAGAAAAGATGGCGGAAGTTGTACCGTAGCTGGTCTCCGCCCGCAGGTGTTTGGCACAGACGTTTAACACCTTGTAACAGAGTAACTTTATAAGCAGGAATGCCTTTGAAAGTGAAAAGCACAATTTAAACAAGTGTCCATGGGCGACAATTTTCCGTGAAGTTTTTTTTTTATTTTGTAAATACATGTACATGAGCCCAACAACACGATAATCTGAACAGAAGAACAAAGTCATCTTTTATAACAACAAATTTCATTTGCTACATATTATTTTTTTGACAATATATCGTAGTAGGTGCAAACCAGAAGTCACAATTCCAGCATATACTCGCAAACGATTATAGACAACAACCACCTAATATCTGCTTCCAGAACCTCGCCTACCACACAGGTACTTAAGCTACGGCCTGTTCCACGGTATTATAAAAATAGGGGTGTTTCCGAAAAATGCATTTACTTCAATATGAAAACTGCTACGGTAAAAAGAACACGCCACGAACATGCACACCACAGGGAAATACAACGGACACAACCATTTGTTTTAGCTGCGAGCACAATTAAAATCAGCCCCCATACTTAAAGAACAGCCGACGTACAGCTGTTTCTAATCAACGAACCAACGTGCGGATTTGCGATAAGGCCACACTGACTTAACTTTAAGGATGACATCCTCTGAAGACCCCCCAAACACGTGCGCGCGGGCGAATAAAAAAATTCCGGCCAAAAATAAACATGCTACTAAACCACAGGAATACAAAGCTGGTATTGTGAATTTCCAGCAGTACACAGCGACGCACACGACAAGCCTGCACATCCTGGTTTTTGCCGAATTTATCAATCGGCACTGTACGTATGTACTGAGTTCTTGAGTCGTGGAGCTAAGGTGCCATCGGTATCCAGGGTTATCACAGGCTCCGTATTGCCGCTAAGTACCATGGAATACCCAGGCCTAGAGCCAGGACAGACGAGATTCTTTTTAGAACAGGCGAAAATTAATGCGTGCGCGGATGTCATCCATAAAATCAAGTCAGTGTGGCCTAATAACATTTACCTCATCCAGGTGGTGAGACATCAGCAGAGCGAATCTAGGTAGTTATATGACACACATATAGGGAGTTAGCACTCACGTGATCATGACGTCAGAATTATCCGCCATGCTGACTGGTTAAATCGCCAGATAAATGTGGATTTCTTTATACAATAACAGTCACGCATTTTATTTCATTGTATTTGTATGTAGTACTCAGTTGTAGTTAGCCTTACGAAAGTCACTGTGCGTTTTGTTGTGTCACAATTGCTGAGAAATTTCTCCGGTATATTATCATATTCCGCGATACTGAATCATCTAGACCTTCAAAGGCTATTGATCCACATCTGTAAGATACTTAGACAGACATTTTAGACTCTTTTTAGGACTTTGGAGTCATACCAGCAGAACAAACAGCTGGATTCTTACACTTAGAACCGCCTGTTGGTAGAGTGAAGAGACCCACCATGTCAATTCATATTTTTTCTGAAAAAATCTGAGAACCCGCAAATTAAATTGGTGTGGCCACAGTGAAACCATAGCATCATATCCATAGCCAATCATGTAGATGATATTTTCTCCGCGGAATCTTACTAGCATTCTGCGTTGAGCTGTATCATCTCTAGACCTCCAAAAGTTGTTCATCTACATCTGTCAGACATTGATGCTTTTTTGGAGCAGTTTCTTTACACGCTAACAGCTTTTTGAACACCAGCAGTGCGTTTAAGACGCCCAGAACACAAAGGATTCTGCCGCTTAAAGCGGACTGTTGGTAGAGTGAAGCTGCCCACAGTAGAGTCGGGATGTGCGCCGCGAAGGTCCAGCGGAACGTCTGCAGGAAGGCGAGCTCGGTGCACGCCGTGGCCAGCACGCAGGCAGCGAGGAGAGCCAGGTGAAGCGGCGGCAGGACGGCCGGACCCAGCCCGAGGACCTGTGAGAGCAGCCCGATGGCCAGCTCAGCCGTCTGCACGTAGTTCCAGCTCAGCCTGAGTCAATCAAAAAATCAATGAATTTGCTTTTCCCTGTTGTTTTTGTCATGTATTTTGTCGCTGTATACCTGTATGTCTGGTGGTGAGGCTAAAATTAGCTACAGCTAGAGTACCTCACCACCATGCCCTGTATTACCCATGTCGAATTGCAAAAAAAAATTTTTTAATGAATGTATCCTGAACCGTGCCTGAACACGGCTCTGAATTGCGTGGACTATCCAAAATCGTGCCTGAGCAACGATCTGGATAAAGCATGATCTTGGATATAACAGACCTTTATTGTACATTTTTGCTCCACTAGAACAAGTACATACATGTATAAGATGTCCGACTTCCTCTTCCCCTCTTATACTGCATAGGTGTAGGATGAATCAAACCTGGTTAACCGAATTGCGAAAGATGTAAGGAAAATTTCTCTTGACCTTTCAAGGGAATTTACATATTTAATAGCTAAAGAAAGAATATAAGGAATAATTGACCTGAAGGCTGCGCAGTTCTCGACCATCAGCGCGAAACACACGCGGTGACGCCCGGACATCGGCACGGCTCGGCTCTCCCGCATGGAGTGGACCTGGAACAGCAGCGAGAACAGCAAGCCCTGGTTCAGCACCTGTATGGGAAACAGCACGCTCAAAGCAAGGAAGGTAAAATCAAGGCATGGAGGATATATTCACATCAGCAAGTAACCCCTATGCCATAAGGGGCCATCATCTCAAACAGGAATTGCCACTTACGGTGTCAGGAAAATATTCTTCAGTATTAGAGTTATTCGGAATGGAACAAGTTACCACAGGAGACGGTAAATCAGACGACAGTAAACAGATTCAAGAGCAGTATCGACGAATACATACGGAAGAAGATGACCAGAGGAGCTACTAATGGCTATCCGCCTTAAATTCAGGTAAATTCAAGTCAGGTTTTGACTGTAACATCCTGATCAAAACACGGCAAGCCCTGGTTCAACTTAACTGACACAAGAAAAGTACAGCGACTTTTATAAGGTCTATAACTAGAGATGTACAAACATACACTTGGGTTAAAAAGAATACCAAGTAATCTACACTACTGAATCTACTTAGGTCATAGGAAAATAGCTCGTCCGAACCGTTTGTATGCTTTTCTAGACGATGTGAACACCACCGGCGCCACCTGTCACCCTAACCTACTTCGACGTCACGGCTGATGTGCCATGAACAATAATACCATAACCTTTATGCAAATTTATGGAAAAACTGAAAAAGATGTGACATAATCTGACGACAATGGAAAATATTGAGAATGCTTTTGGAAATGTGGATACGGTGAAGTTATATGGATAATCTATAATCGCGAAAAAAGCTGAAAATTAATGGAGCGGAACGAGCTAGGGGCTTCGACTTCTCGGAAGTCCGCGGAGCCACTTTTAGCTAATTAGGATAAGGGACAGTGTAACATCTACGCGAGTCTTATATATCTCTATAAGAAAATTAACTGCCCTGTACCAAAACCAAAGAATCTTTATAGCGAGCACAGTCGCGTGTTTTTTTTTCTTATTCATCAAAACATGAAAACATAACAAGGACAGTGTGACGCTGCACTCAAGTTTTTAACTTATATTAACATCGCCACACAACAAAAAAGTACAATTAACATTTAAATACACAAATTTGACAGATCTGTGCGGCGTAGTCCCACCACCCCAAGACATTAAAAATGTTAATGATATTTGAATACTATTAATAAGATGACGTGGTAACTTCCTAGGAGGAGAATTTAGGCACATTAACACATACGTAGTATCTGGACTTCTATATCTGTTAGAAACAGTCGCGTGGTTGAGCGGGAAGAACACTGTGCGTCCCGAGAATCTAGTTGAAGAATCTGACGATAAAAATAGCATGTCAAAACTGACAAGGACTTGAGTTGAAAGAAATTACCTTGATGACGAGCACAGCCGCGCGGTTGAACGGGAAGTACGCTATGGGCCCGTCGGCCAGCTCGCTCAGACACAGCCCGGTGAGGAGCCGCCCCAGGTCCCGCCCGCTCCCGTCCCACAGGCCCCGCTGGGTCGCCTCGTACCAGTACAGCAGGGACACCACCCGCCACATCACGGACAGCACATGCGGGACACTGAGGAGGCCCAGGGTTAGCGCGACGTCGGACTCAGCAGACATCTGTGAAAAAATTCGGATCGAAGCGCTGTGTAAAATATAGGGCAATGGCGTGCACTTGCTCCACTGCTGCAGGTTTGGTCCAATTTTCCGCTCTCACAGCAAACAAAAAAATTGTTTATCTTTATATTCAACCTCATTGGCGGGACACTGCGTACGGCGCACGGGGCACTACCAATCAGCGCTCAGCATTTAGTGTGCCCACTACCAATCAGCGCTCAGCATTTAGTGTGTCCATGGCAACGATGGTTTATAGTGTAGAGACCGGTTTGACCACCGTACGTGTGTCCTAGTATGAAAAGTAGTATTCAGCGTTGCCTATGACGATAAATGCCAGTTAAGTTCTGATGATAATGAGGTGGGATTTGCCTCCCAATACCGTGACCTACATACAGTTAATTAACACCATTATGTGTTAAAAATAGAGGAAAATGTCCCGTGTTTGAGGAGAGACACACCTTAAGCATGTTAAAGATTCTACCACACTTATCGACAAGAGTACTAGTAGGGGTCCGTAACGTCCCTTCCGATCCAGTTAGCCTCCGTAGCAGGCTTATAAAACTGGGGGTTTGGTGGTCTTCGGCTGTTTTCTGATTAACCTTAGTTAGCCTCTGTAGCAGGCTTATAAAACTGGGGGTTTGGTGGTCTTCGGCTGTTTTCTGATTAACCTAGTTACCCTCTGTAGCAGGCTTATAGAACTGGGGTTTGGTGGTCTTCAGCTGTTTTCTGATTAGCCTAGTTCAGAAAACGGGGGTAATTCAACCAGGCCGGCTATGTTGTCTATGTTGCAATCAGAAAATAGCACATAAAAGCTCCCAAAGACCATGAAGACCCCCAAAATCCCCAGTTTTTGGCATGCTATGGAGGCTACCTTCCAGTGTGAGTGGTTCAAACCGTACAGTCCGATCTAACCTTCTATATATTGATTGCGTATTCTGTGTATTTTTATACTTGTTGTCATTGACTATGTAAATTTTGATGTTGTATATGTGTTTTTGTATGGGGGAGGGCAACTTGTAAAGGTGTTTATGCACCTATTTTGCCCTCCCTTTCAGTTTGTGAAAAATTAAAATAAACAAATAAACAAATACGCAGCTTGTACTTCGTTCTGGTACAAGGGTGGATCTGGAGTTAAGGCGACAGGGTTAATGTATATTCTTTACGGACGTGTAAATGCAGGTGTCAATTATCAAGACGCTAGAGGAAAGCGGTTTTGCCTATGTTTGGCATTCGTCCTTGTCTTCTACCTTCAATTTGCCCCAAATTATATCTTCCATCAACCAACGTCTTAAGGACATGTATCTCCAATCTTTTATATCAGAAATGCGGAACAACAACAAATTACGGACATACAGATTATTAAAAAATACTTACCACGAGGAAAATTACCTGAAAATTACAAACATTCGACACAGAACAGCCTTCACAAAACTCCGGATAAGTTCACACAAACTCCACATAGAAAAAGGCAGACACAACCGCATTCCTCTAGAGCAAAGGATTTGCCAATTTTGCGATTTAAATAAGATTGAGGATGAGTATCATTTCGTAGTCAATTGTACGTTATATAGTAATGAGAGAGATTACCTATATTCTTATATAATAGATAAGTTCCCCAGCTTTGCACATTTAAATGAATCAGAAAAATTCCTATTTGTTATGAAACTTGACAAACCATGTATCACTAATTCTATATGCTCGTACATCTATAACTGTGTCAAGAAGCGAGAAGAAGTCGAAAAATGTAAATAGTAGATCACATTAGTATGTATAGTTTAAGTATCATTGCTGAATCCATTTCCTTGTCTATCCATGACCTGTACTTAGCTTGTTAGAGCACAAACGTACAATAAAGGTCTTTCATTCATTCATTCATTATCAACCTGTGAATATTGTAACATGTTATTCAGTCATATCACCTACACGTCCGTGTGAGTAAGGCCATGTTGATTTGATTATATGAATGACATTCGCGCGCGCATGAATTTTCGGCCGTTTCCAAAAAAAAGTTTTCAACCATACTTGAATCATACAAAACGGTTGCAAAATGAGCAAATATATACCGTAAGTTGAAAAAAAAACATTGAAAAACGATACCAATGCCGTAGAATACCAAAATCAAACGATAATGTAAAGAAATGAATTTGAAGACTAGATTATTCGCATGTATGGCAGG